TATCAAGGTAAAAAGTAGTCTATGTTACTGATAATATAAGTAGCTTTCCATTAGTTTAAGAATTTTTAAAATCGGTTTAGTGGTTTAGGCGTAATATCGTAACAAACAAATAAACTCACTTTCACATTACATATATAAGTATGGTTTAGTACTCACCATTAACAAAGGATAGCCGGACAAGATCCACAAATTGTTGTGCCACGACGACGTTGACACGACGTTGACTTCAAATCTTGAAACTTTCAGAGTAAAATCTTGGGTACGGCAAGGAATATCTTCTTTCCAATTCCAAATATGGCACAAAATTCCATTAATGTAGGTACTGCAAAATGACGCTGTCTCGCTTTAGCAGCTATCTTGTATATAGCTGTCGTTCTTTCAAAGTTTTTTAAGGCACTGGAGAAATGAACACGTAAGTGTGACCTCTTATCTGGAAAAGAAGAAAATAACTTCTTTAAAATTTATTTTCTTTTGTGATATGCAATGGCGGCCGGATGGTTTAGCGATTCGTTTAACGGACTGCTACGCTAACGATTCCCGCTCAAGGCAAACATTTGTGTGCATGAACCTTTAATGTTTAATTTGGTCTGGGTGTTTCTATGTATAATGTGTACAAAAAAGTATATTTGTGTTTATATTAGTTTAGTACTCACAGTTTGGGTGGGACTACAAGGCGTTGTGTGAATGTGGTAAAAAAAATTGGAGCAGATGGGTTACTTGATGCTAAGCGACTACTGGTGCTTATTTCGGACATCTAACACACAACGCCATCTAGTTTAAAACTAAGCAGAGCTTGTACTATGAAAACTAGATTGACTGAAAGCACCTTATTTACTTTTTTCTGTAAATACATATTTATTATACATAGAAAACGGCCACACTCCGAATAAATATTTGCAGACCGTACAAACATTTGATCCGACCCAGGAATTAAACCCGTGACCTCAGCACAGCAGTCGATTACGCTACTTACTGCACCAACGAGGCAGTTATTGACACTAACAACTTAGAGTCATAAGTTGCTACACTTTGAAAGAGTATTTAAGGTTTAGAGGTCGTATGGGTCCGAAAAAATCGCAAGCGAATATTTGCTTCACAGATTGGTTGTGAGAAACAAAAAGGTTCTTGAAAAGCGTCCAATAGTGAAGTGCCAATTATCTAAGTGATGGAGATTAATGTTTTGCTGAAGCCGATTTCAACAGCCTTTAACAGTCCACCACTGGACACAGGCCTCCCCTTAGAAAGGAGGTTTTGGCCTACTATACCACACTAGCCAGACGGGTTGGTATAGGGTTTGTGTCAAGTTTTCCTTCTTTTTGCAGTGCTGGTATCCTGCGTTGTTTTGCGCCCTTAGTCGGCTCTTAAGACACCCACGGGATGAATTGGGGTAGTGACATTCCGTATTCTTAATCCGTCACTACACGGATTTAAGTCCGAATAATTTCTCGAAGCAATCCCTATAATACAAGCGATATTATTGAATATCTAAATCTTGATTAGTGTAATCAGTTATTTAAGGTACTTAACTTATATTATTAGTATTTGATAGATGATTATTAATTGAAGCAACTAGCCAGGTTATGTATCAATTTTGACACCAGAAAGTCACGACAAAAACATTACTGAATTGCACTCAGTAACAAATTTAGTAGAAAATTAATTAAATATTAGTATATTGTCTAGCAGTAGACGTCTTTAAGCTGTGATGATGATTATCATATTTAAAAACTAGCTGAAATCTAATTCTGCCAAAATAGAACTAGCCCTGATAAGCAGACAGCGAGTCATGATTATTCAAAATTGATATATTTTTTTAAATGTCGTGTAAAAAAAATGTTTTTTACTACTTATTGTGGGTATGCCACTATAAGTAGTAAAAAAGCAGTTTGTTTAGCTTCTACACATCACTGTTAAGGTAATACAGAGGTTACCAACTTGCCTCTACGAAGACCCCATCATCATCATCACCAACAGCGTTTAATAGCCCACGCTGGTCAGACGGGTTTTTCAAGTTTCTGTTGTCCTGCGTAGTTTGCTCCCTTAGTCTGCTCTTACGACACCCATGGAATGAATAGGGATGATGACACTCCGTGTTCTTAATTCGTCACCACATGGATGAAACTCCAATAAATAGCTTGAAAACTCTTTTTTTATTCTATAGGGGGCAAAGGAATACATAAATCGCTTGATAGAAAGTGACTACCGCCGCCTATGAACGCTTACAACTCAGGAGTCATAAACGCATCTATGACCTTGGTCTGTAGGATCTTTTAATTGTTTCAGGATTGATCTAGTTAGTATACAAATCAGTTAACAACATTTTTAACTTTCATAAATGATGTCATTAATTGTTTTGCAACACTATGAAACAATAAGTTTCTATAAATTTGTAAATGAATTATATACCTAAACAAATTGAAGATATGTGACTAAAAGCTCTCTACGAGGCTGCCGCTACTGGATGACAGAAAAAAATATTAAAAATATTCTCTATGGACGTAAGAAAAGTTAAAAAACTTCGTAATTAAATGGAATCGTTTTTGTCATAGTATAAAGTTCTATTTTCTTAGTAATGTAAAGAAAATGAATAAAGAAATACGTCTTATGCTTCTCAATTGAAATATAGTATTTGAGAACCTAAATCATCAAATGACCAATATGGATCTAATCATTAACGGATAGGCATTTAGCCTCTTTCGAGAATTAAGTCTACGTTTTTTATGTAACAACACTGATAGCCATCTGTCTCACACCTTTTTAGAGATAGACTAACGTATAACATCACAGAAAGTCTGTTGTGTTCAAGACCTAACGCTAAACACTAATTTATCCGTCACGTGAAGGAAGAACGGAGACGTTAATAAATTGCAATCAAACACACACTTTATGTCGTACGTAATAAGATCTACGCGTTATATCTCGACGCGCGGAAACGAGCAACTATGGTCCATTTAAAGTGAGATTTATCGTAATAGTTTTCAGTGTGAACCAGTTTCTGCTGCTCGTTTGTAGTTCTTGATTTTCTAGAAGATTTGCTATCATTTGATCCTTTTTTTTTAAAACTTCAGTAACATATAAGTAAATGAAAATTCTAATAACAATATTAAAAGAATGCTTGTAAACAAATTTATAAATACATATTTATCACTGAACCACTTTTGGTAACAAGAGATCGAATGAAAATAAAATTAATTTTACTTTGCAAATTACAATTGTTTTATTTTTATTATTATTTTCTTTTTTTATACATAAACCAATCACTATAGTAGATAATTAGGTGTATTTAAAATTCATAAAGATTACTAATGTGGAAAGAATAATTTTCAAAATAAAAATTACCATAATCAAAAATCTAAATTAGTAACTCACCATAACGCATCACATCCGCTTGATAACGGAGTGAAAAACAGCCATTTTCCCGCCTTTTTATTTGTCAAGAATTCAAAAATGAAAATGGAACAATTGTGGAATGCATACGCTCGCGATGCGTACAAATCCGGCAAGAGTCTGGATTGCAGTGCTCGGCCGGCCCAGCAATGTGGGGGACGACAATTGGGGAGATATTGAGTGTCCGTTAAATAGTACGTCTCACATTATTTGGGACAGTATAAATTGATTAATTTTTTGAATTGGTATGCAAACGCTGCTTTGGCATTTCGACACAATGCTATTATACCCTTTATACACGAGTAAGTACTACTTGGGGCGGCGCTTCTTGCATAATACCTTCGTACACAGTAAGGAGTGAAAATAATGATAATATATTACTATATGAGACAGTAAATAGTTATCTAGTCTGGAATATTATTTAAGTTTTGAGGCTGGATTCGAGGAGTTAGATTAGGATAGGAGTTTTCATTTACATATCTATGGCCTTGGTAACGGTATAATACCTGACTAGTAAGAGGTATGTAATATAGATGGTAGGATTGGAACCGCCCGCATTTTAGAAACAAAACTCAAATCACATAAGACCCAGTATGGTGTCTAGCTTGGGTACGGTTGTTAGACAATACAAGAATAGAGATATAAGTAATAACCATTTACTAAGAGAATGTTTGAAATAATATCTGAGGTCTATAAAATCTGTCAATAATATTTACTTTGCAAGGGAACAAATGATATACAGATTGCAACTCACTCTTCTTGAAGTCTTTAACATTATAAGTCAAAGATATTATCACTTAAAAATCCAAATAGGCCAAAGGTTCCTTTGGCTTTGGATTTGCCTGGAGCATGGATCGGATGGACTGACGACCTGAGAACAGCTGGCATAGATTGTAGCAAGTTCGTAGAGGCATATGTCATACAGAAGTGAAACTTACGGTTCTATCGAGTTCTCACTTTCCCGAAACCGCTGAAAATCGAAGAGACCGTGCCGAAAACTATTGCCTATACCGGCAGAAGTCTAATTTAAAGTGGTCTTAGTTTCTGTAGCGGTAATTCTGGATGTGTTCAATTTTCAGAGGAATGGATCACTAATGTAGCAAGTGGCAAATTCCAACGATTTTACAAACAAGCACATCTAAAGGGTAACAACGACCTGGTGAATTTACTTTTTAAATTAAATGCAGAACTTACGATACAATGTAGAGGCGCTGTTAGACCATACGTATAATAATCTATTAACACCCTCACTAAACGTGGTGAGTAAATCGATTGATTAATCAAAAACGGCGCATACATACAGCACGTAATTAACTGTGCATCCCAAATTATGTTAAGTGTGGATAACATATTGGCTTGCGAGCAAAAGAACACTTTAATGAGTAGTTTTTAGAGTCACTATTTGATTACTTTTGCCGTGTTCAACGCAGAGTTCTGTACCGTAACACGATTTATCTGTAGCTGATTTGATGATGTTAAATGTTATAAATAAAACGAAAATCAGATTTTATTATTTTATTTTTTATTTATTTTTTGAAAATAAAATCAGATTTTACAAATTTATTAAAAAATATGTCACAAATTGGTGTACAATATCAAATTATCAAATGGATCTAAAAAAAGTCTGTAAACACTTCAAAATGATGGTTCAATGAGGGCGCACACTGTAGCTTAGTTAATGAAGTTAATGCACCCATAGAATTCTTCATAGAGAAAAAGACTCTTTTAATCCTTGCATGCACTAACCCCATCGCACACATAACACACGGTTCTCTTATCATATAAATATAAAATCCAGTACACAAATACGGACTGTCAGATGCACTTAATTTTTTTTCATCTAAATTACTTTTGGAAATATACTTTTTTGCTCCAATCCTTATATTGGGATACTTGTGCTTTAAATGCAACAGCAAATCCATAGAGCACATGCCTCGTAAGTTCACACTGTCAATGTCACATGTATCCCACGCACCACCAGTTTGTGTTTTTGCTACATTGTCTATTGCCAACATACATGAATGCTGGACAGGATGATTCTCTCTGTTATCAAATGCAACAGCAACAACAGACTGATCTAATGGATCAACGACAACAGTTGCATTCACGTTTGCATTCAAAATGTCATATGGTTCTAATGTCGGTTTGTCCTTCTTCATATAATATATTGCGATTTCAAAAGCCATACCCATGAATAGCCTATGTTGTACAATTTCTGTTGGGGAAAATAATTCATCTGCATATAACTTTTCTAAGTATTTATTAGGGTGAAAATTGCATGACCAAGAACGTCCACATTCCACATACTGTTTCCTGATTTTAGGAGCTACTGCTGGTACATCTATTATTTTGAAATATTCAAATGAGTCTCTCAATTCATTTATGTGTTCTTCAATATAATATTGTATTGATGCATGCGTTTGACAGTTTAAATGATTTATAGGAAATAATATAATCTCTTTTCTGCATGCTCTCTTTAAGTGGCTAAGATCTTTTAGAGGAAGTTTTTGGTTTAATAATAAAATTATTTTTGATAAATCTTTTACATTCTTTACCTGTCCAACATATACTTTCGTAAAAGACATTGGCCTATAATAATCATCACTTAAAATTGCCTTCACGGGCCTCTTAGACTCTACAAGATTGGCCATGAAACTCTCTAAAGTTTCTGGATATTTCATTCGTTTGCTAGAAGAACTGGATTCTAGTTCTCCCGACTGCTCTGCCAGTTTATTCTTTATTGTACTATTTTGTGGTTTAACACCGTTCTTTTCCCCTGTACTTAATTCTTTATCTTCTGCCTTCCATTTATCATTATCTTCTGTCTTTACAGTTTCTAGCACAGAAAAGATTTTTTCTTGCCCAGTTTGAAATTGTTTGTCCGCTTGTTTAATTCCTTCAGTCACTTCATTTGTACTTAATTCAACCTCCGTAATTTCCATTGTTAACACCTATATCTTCGTTTCTTACTGAAAATAAGCAAACAACAGCACTATTTCATTACACACTGCATTACTTTTTAAACACAACACAGATAAACAATACTGTAAAATATTCATAAATTTAAATATTTTAAATATTCAGTGTATGAAAGCATATTATGAAAAATATTGTCCTAAAAAATCTTATATTAAAGAACACAATTATGTTCTTTAATAATTGCATATAGAGGCAAAAATAAAATTTATAAAACCATTGTTTTTTTTATAGATGCTATTTTTTAATTAATAAGTAGCATAGTTGATAACATGCCATCACTATGTTATGGGTTCAAACTTTGTTCTGTTCTGACATAATACCGACCCTATGATTTTAAATATTGAAAACATTGGTAATGTAGGCCTTGTGGTACATGTGGTATTTAAAACAGTTGTTTTAAATTATTATTTTTCACTTTATGGTATAATGAATTAAAAAGTACATATGAAAAAAGTGTCTAATACCATACAGGAAAAAACACACCATAAAATTTAAAAGAAATTAATAAAAAAATGTTGCTTTCAGTAAAAAATTAAGGGAATACGATATAAGTAACTATAATTTATATTTTCATGTTTTTTCTGTTGTAAGATTTTACCACACATACAAAGAAAATTGATTATTAAATCTTATATCAAAACAGTACAATAAAATTTTGAAACTTTACATTTAATTATAGTCTAAATGTCAAAAAAGAAGTGAATAAGTACTATGAAGAAAGTATCAGATAGTTTAATATATTAGTTGCTATGATTAATAAGTTCATAATTCAAGATAAACAAAAAGATAACCGCTTTACGATATTGTGTGGGTAATAAATTAAAATACATATAAGCCTTGATATGATAATTATATTTACACATAGGTTACTATTTAACGTGTGGATATACTAAAAAAGTTGTGAAACTATTGCCTAAAGAGTCGAAATGCTAATTAATTTTTAATACAAACGTAGTGGAACTTTTTGGTTATTATTCGTCTGTCAAATCACAATTTTTGTTGACAAAAACCAGATAATTACCACTCGAATGTTAGCTCATATAACTACCACTGTGGACGCTGTAACGTGTTTCAACTTCAAAACAAAAGATTTGTTAAAATATAACAACCCAATAAAACTTACAGAAGCAGTACTTTTTAAAGTATTACGTATAAAATAAGTATAATATTCTTACATTTACTTTAGGTTGGACTTCGGAATTTGACGTCAATTTTGCTCGTGGAAGATATTGTTTTTCATTGCGTGTGTAAAAATCCAACGTATAATATTTTGTTTAACCACACTATATATTCAACAGTTACTTATTCACAGTATAAAATACAATTTGCCACACGTAAACCTTAAAAACTAGCAGCCATAGCCAGCCAGAATCTAATTTGTTTTCTTATAGGAAACGTGGTCAGAGTCAAATATATTCTTATTGGAGAATACGAAGATTACAGTGTAGACGGGCCAATCAGCTGCATAGGTGGTTGACGTTTTCGACTACAGATTCAATTGACAATTTTATCACTATGTAATCTACAACAAATTACTGAATTGCATTCCGTTTCATGATTATTCCAAAGAGTTTATATTTTCGTCAGCACATTTATCTATCATTCATCAAGTACAATATAATAATAAGATTACCTTACTAATTTTTTATGATTAATTACTTTTAAAAGTGCTTCAAATACATATAGTATATAGATAGGCAATAGTGAAAAACTCATATTTTTTTTGTAAGAAAATGAAACGACGATTTTGCATCACACAATGTTTGCTATTTTATTTTCTTAAGTTTCATTGAATGTTTGATCATGAATAATTCCAATATTTAAGTAAACATTGTTACAGTCATTTACTAATTAAACATTTATTTATTCGAGCATCTACGCTATCAGTTTTTTCACCTTAAACCAGAACTTATCTTAGTTTTTGGAAACTTTAAAATTACCTAACGCCACCTGTTATTTCTCAGGCAAATTCGTACATATCATAAAAAAACCCTAAAAAATATTTTTCATCAAATAACTTTTTTATATGTTTTCCAGAGATTGTCCTGGGAGAACCATGTTTAAGCACATAATTATGGGCCCCCCTGATCATGTTTTTTTTCACCAAGTGAGTAAGGTAGTTATCGGAGTCCCAAATCCCTCTCCCCGTAGGAGACTTATTTCGCTTTCAGTCTTTTTTCAACTTAGTTAATTTTCATAATGTAAAACAATTTTTTTAAAATTCTTATAACATTAAAAATGTTGTACCGTATACCAGGAGAAACTATTACCTTGCTTTATTTAAAAAAGATTGACAGTTTGTTTGTGAATACCAATTCACAAACAAACTGTCAATCTTTTTTTATAGGACTAATCCCTCCCACACGCCCACCACTGTAACTCCTGTACACCAGGATCAACAGCAGTAACCCATGAACACATCGAGTTTTAACACTCGGAAAGTTTCAGAAAAAAATTAAAATGTCTTTTAACCTGCAACGAAATGAATCACAAGAAAATTGGAGGAGTTGCAAAAATAATAAATCCACTGCTTCCCCTTAGCAAAACGGGAGACAAAATAGGCATACACCCTTATAAACAGAGAAGCACCACGGCCACAAAATATTATTGGTCCTAGTAGGTAAATTTGATTTTGAATAATATGCATTCCAAAATACCCTAAACGCACGGAAATTCACCCTAGTTAACACAAGATCCCCATAGCACCCCAGATGTCAACCTATTATTCAGCATTATATTGCGTTTTTTATGCCAAAGACTACATTCCCAGAGGATATGACGAGCAGATTGTTCTCAATTAGAGTTAGGTGTTGAGCATTGACACAACGGTAACTCGACTAATTTAAATGAATACAGTTTGCTCTTTAGTTACCATGACCTGTAAGAACTTGAGCAACACAGTGTCCACCTCAAGTCATGTCCACGACAACCGTTCGTGAATAGATGGAGAGAACTGGTAAAGGTGGCGCCCCTTAGATGATTCGTCCCAACGTTGTTGCCATTCGTCTATGAGGTCATTAAAGACATCGGACTGCTGTTGAAGCAATCTTGTAATTTTATCGCGATCTCGTGCGCCCAAGAAAACCGCATTCCATGTTTTGTTGTGTTGAATAGAACATGGCTGCACGTCAACACCGACAAAGATTCAGTGCTAACCGTCCTATATGCCTTGCACAAGAATATCAGTGCAAGTCGTTGGCCTTGTAATAGTTTGCGACGAACAGCGCCTACGGTCGCCCTATCGGCCCGTATAGGTGCACCATAGCAGATAGAATCTAAACTAAATCTGACTGCACGGATGGCGTAGTGATTTAAGCGGTCGCCACGCCGCTTTCTATTGCGCCGAGTGCTGTGGGTTCAAACCCCACATGGGATAACACTTTGTGTGATCCACAAATTGTTGTTCTGAGTCTGGGTGTACTTTGTGTCCGTTTCATGTATGTTTGTAAAGTCCCCCGCGACACAGGATTTATTCCTAGTGCGGGAGTTGTCTTTTTATAAAAAAAAAAAAAAAATTGTTGCGTATATGATCAAATCAAATCAAATCAAATTTTATTTGCTATGAATTTCTATGATCTTTAGTGTATTGATTGAAATACCCCTCGTCAATGCACAGAAAGTTTTTTATACTTTCTATTGACTATGTTCGATAAATGAAAGTTTATTTCTAAAACGAATTCTAAATAACACACTGAGGTTTTATTTTTCACAGTAAAATTGTCAAATTTAATGCTCGGCGGTGATTTGAGGTTACCTTTTAAAAGTACCTGGAAGGTTTTGTTAGGTGCAAAAGTTAAGCGATTACGTTCACCCCAATGTGATATTAAAATATCTATTGGCTAATTTCTCAAGCCCTGCCCTATTATCAGATTCTACCAATAATAGACCGTCATCAACATACGCATTCAGAGTACATCCGGATGGTATTGGTATCGCAAGAAAATCTGCGAATCCTATATTCCACAAGTATGGACCTAGCACTGATCTCTGAGGAGATTCCATTGTACTGCGCCTTCGACACAGAATGATGACCAAGTCTTAGTTTAGTTGTACCTTGTGAAAAGTGCGAAGAGATAAGGGAATAAACTAAAAACTGAATAAACACTGAAAGACGTTCTAAAAGCTTTCCTAACGATGGTAACAATTTGATTGGCCGGTAGGATTTAGGATCACCGCGTTGTCGCCGCTTTTTGGTGTTATTAGAATATTAAGTAAAAAGTATTAAGTAAAAAGTAAAGTTTAAAAACAGTCAAAATCGTGTCACCCGAAAGTTTACAAGCTTCTTTTATCATTTTGTTTGCTATTTTATCATCTCTGGAAACCTTGTTTAGCGCCAACGATCTGACCATACTGAGAAATTCGTCTGAAGATGGTAAGTCAGACATTGAAGACTGTGGTGGTTCGATGGCCCACTGCCTGATCTGTCGGTGATGATCAGTGTCATTTTCCGGCCGATCGTCAGGTACACGGTAAACTGTCAATCTGTTGTAAAAAAACAGCTTTTGTGTTTGATTTTTGTTTGCTTTTGTTGATCGCTCAGTCACGATTTACGTTTATAAATAGTTTTTAAAAAGTACATATTAGTATCTAGTTATCTACACAGCTGCTTCTCAAGTTTAAGTCTACGTAAGTTGTTGGCAGTTTTGCATATTAAACATCCAATAACCGCAGGTTTAGTTGAGTGAGAACTAAACTCCATTAGCGCTAATCCTGCACACACGATGTAGTCGCAGTCCCTTAAGCAATTAGCTTTTATATTACATTCTGCACAAGTATTATGGCAAACACCGATGGTATAAAACGTGTGTAAGATGTAGATAGGTTGTGTAGTTGCGAGATATTTTATGGCGTATTAGCTTTTGCCCTCGGCTCTGCCTTCATAAATGTCAGTTATCGCGGTAAAAAGTCGCCTATGTTCTTCAAGAATTATGGTATCTTTAAGGAATTTTATCTAAATCGGTTCAGCGGTTATTGATTCCCCATACAAACTTCCACCCCCTTAAATAACGTTTTCTGAGATAAAAACTACCCTAAAACAACCTAAGTCCTTTCCCGGGACTCGGACGATCTCTGTACCAAATTTCATCTACAGCAGTTCAGCATTTTAAGCGTGAAGAGGTAACAGACAGACAGACAGCTATCTGTCTGTTACCTTTTAACATGTGTCTGTCTATCTGTATAGACAGACACACTTTCGCATTTGTAATATTAGCACTAGAAGGGTTAGGGGAAAAAAATGAAAAAACCAAAATTGACAAATTATTACGGAGAAAATCAGTACATGGTACCCGAAGTATTCAACAAAATAGACTTATTAAGGGAAAAGCCTTAAGTAAGTACCAGGCCATTAAAGAAAAGACTTAAGGATGTGCTGTTTGAGGTTACTTAAGCTGTTGGGTTGTGACTGCATATTATGATATAGAAATTGTCCTTATAAAGTTGTCTTAAATATCTAATAATATTTTTTATAGTAGGCCAGAACCTCCTTTCTAAGGAGACGCCTATATCCAGCAGTGGACTGTTAAAGGCTGTTGATGTGATGTGATGATGAACTTTTATAGTTATTTACCTTAAGTTGTTATAGTTTATATTGTTATTTTCGCTATGTGTGATGTACATACAGTGTAGCATAGGTTATTTAATTGATTAACGAGCGCGTTTCGCGGTCAAATATTACGTTTGACGAGTATAACGTTTAAGGCTTACATCTAAGTTACTACTGTGAATTAAACAACAAAAAAAGTATGGAGTACGGATTTCGGCCCTTTATTGCACTCTGATTGTCCATTTTTGGAAACTAACAGATGTATTCCGTGTTTTGATTTGTAAGAATACTTATGATTATGTATGTTACAAGGATTAACTTTGGATTCTCTACCTTTGCAAAATAAACCACACAAGAAAAGGTAATTTGTTCAAATTGTGTGTGAGCCATTCTTCTCACAGAAATCTTTTGTTTCTTTTCACCGAGTGTGAGGTTACCGGAGACCAAACCTTTCCTTCCTCCCTTGAGGAGGCAAATCTAATCTATACAAATAACTAAAATTGAAGTGTCTGTTTGTAATGTCAAAATATTAGTTTTTTTAATGCTTACACGGTTATATGCACGATACTTATGCCTAAAAACCGGTTTAAATATTTTTGACTGTCTGTCTGTTTGTTCCGGGTAATCTTTAAAAGGGCTTTGCCGATTTTGATTATATTCAACTACCAGGTAGCTTTCTATATAAAGAGTAACTTAAGCTATTTTTCTTTCAGAAAACCCTATAAAATTTAAATACTTAGGTTGGGAATATAAACCGAGCCCTTATGGACCGCAGTCGCATACTACACCACTAAGGCAGCGCTTTTCAAATTCCACACGAACGAAGTCGCGGGAACCAGTTAATTTACAATATAAAGTCAGAAAATTCATTATTGATCAATTTATTTATTTATTATACACAATTTAGTATATTTATTAAACACTTTATATGACTCTAGCTCATACAATACATATAAATAAGTGATCATCGGGTTGTTAGGTCTTTTATTTGTTTTCCAAAGCCTGGTACCACGCCTGACATGTTTCAGTAGCAATCTCGCACAACGCCGACAAAGCTCGCCCTGTGGTGTCATACTCTGAAAAAAAAGTTAGAAAAATAATTGAATCTGTGGTCAGCGGTGAGATGATATTAAATCTACATTTTATTGAGAACTTTTAATTCTTTCTTGCTGTGGTCATCATAATTTTATGTTTAGAAATAAATACAGCGGTCTGTCACTCAATTTGTACAGAGGTAATATTATATTTAAAAACTTAATAAAACTAATGGAACACAAGGTGTCGTTGCCTAGTTGCCGCGGTGCTGGTCAATTCTTTTTAAATATTTTGACTTTGCTGGCTCTTGCTTCGTTCGGCCAATGTACCCAACATTTTTATTTCCAAAATGAAAATCAGTGCCAAAAAAGTATAACTTACCAGCAATGCCTCTTTTTCCAAAAATAGATCCGTTTAATGGAGGCTTCCTGTACGTAGCCTCCACATCTTGGAGCACACATAGAGCTACGCCGATGAAGAAAAGAGCGAAGAAGAAACGCATTTTTCTTTGTTAAGATCTGAAAATTAAGACTTTTTAATTACGTTTTTAGACAAATAACAATAATATGAATTTAAGGCATCTAATACACGGCCATCTACACGGTTTACTTAGGCAGAGCCTGTTCTATGGTAACCAGACTTCTGTTAAAAATGCTTATGCAAACATATTATAGATGAATTCTAAAAAGATGCAATTTTTTGCTTGGGTGGAAATCGACTCCTTTCATCCTTTCATATCGGCTCAGCAGTCATTATCACTAACCACTGGACCAACAAGCCGAAAAGTATCAAAGACTTCAATGCGCTGATTCCTCTATTTTCCAAGCTTAAGGATGGTATTTTTTCTTCAAATTTAAATGGGACCAAACAAGAAGTATGACTAATCAGATGAAAAAAGAATTTTACAAATCGGTTCATAAATGACAGAGTTCTAAGGTAACAAACGTAAAACGAAATACATCCGGATTGAAAACCTCTCCCTTTTCTTTCGAAGACAGTGAAAAAGTAAAATTAAAAGTCGTATAAAAACTCACTCGGTTTTCAAGTGTTGCTGGAGCAAGAAACGAAGGCAAACTGATGCATCAGACCAATTTCCTTCGATATTTATATCTCAGACTTCATAATAACTAAATAAGTGATCGTATTATTCTCACATATTTTCAGAATTGAGTTATTGAGAATGAAATCACGAATCTCGTGCAGGAATATCTTGATAACAAATAGATTAAAAATGTCTCATAGGGACGTCTGGGTCTAATAGGTTGTATATTGTTTGTCTTTCGTAATTATGAGAGATAAAAACCTATTTTTGTGGCTATTACCTACCTACCTATGGTAGCAAGTAGGCTATGAAGCAAATAAAATACTAATAACTGGTATGTTAAAATATGTTTTATTGTTTGCTTTGTGACCATTTAAAACTGTTTGATTGAGTGACGAATTGGGAAAGATGTGCAGTGTGACCATTAGCTACAAATAAAAGGTTTGACTTAATAGAACTAAATAAATGTACCTATATGTGACTTATCCAAAATGTTAATGTTATTGCGTTTTGACCAGTTATTTTTTTTTATGTGACGAGTTGTTGCCGAATTCGAATTCGACAGGCGTTTAGGTCTAGTGGTTAGTGACCCAGACTGCTATGGCAGAGGAACCCATCTGTTCGAGTCCCGCCGAGGACAAATAATTGTGTGATGAGCACATTGCTGGCAGAAACGATGGCCGATGAAGTCATAAATTTCTTCAGTAGCGACCGCGTACCGGGGGAAACATAGCGTAGCCCCTCCCACAAAGTAGTCCGAAGACCTGGTGAAGGTCTCGGGAAGCTGTTCGATGCGGGCAGTACAGGACCGGTTGTTGTGCCGAACTTTTGGTGAGGCCTATGTCCAGCAGTGGACGTCTTCCGGCTGAGATGATGATGATTAGCACGATCATTTGATCTGTGTATGAGGGGAATTTATCTATAATATGTACGTATTTAAAAATATATAAGTATGTTTATCAGCATTAGATCTATACCTTGATAGTACTTGTCTTTGGCATTCAATTTAAAAAAAAACTATCTGTTTGAAAGTCATGACCCTTTCGATTTTCAGATGTTATCACTCTTGTTTCTCTTAAAATCAGGTACTGTACAATGTGTAAAGTTGAACATTGGTAACAAACAAGTTAAAAAAATATTGCATTATTTTTGAAGTTTGTGTTGCATGGTTTTTCTCAATAATGGATTGAAAATAAATACATTATGTTCGATTTAAATCTTTAAAGCTTTACGTTAAAGATTTTAAATATAACTATTTGCTTTTATGCCAATCTGAGCAAATAGTTAATAGTTAGTTAGTTTTATCCCTCGAAACTTAAAACGAGAGAACTTAGAGTTTTTTTTGTACATGCATGCTAGAGTTACGTCCTTTCAGCGATTTTAATCAGTGTTCCGTTGTATAAACATATAGAGGACCACCTGACGCGCAACTTCATCTGCGCAAAAAGGAATTACTTTTCCGTGTTTTTACCCCCAGAAATCAGCGCGTAAAGCACTCTTTTCCCTCGATATCCATAAGTCGAGTGGGCCCGATGGAATCACCTCTATCGTGTTGAAGACATGAGCTCCAGAGTTGGCATCGGTTTTAACGCGCCTTTTTCGACTCTCGTACTTCCTAGGCGTCGTCCCGAACTCCTGGAAGGTAGCGTTTATGCTCCCGATTCCTGGAAAAGGTGACCGCTCTGACCCATCCAACTTTAGGCCTCTAGCCATAACCCCCTTATTCTCTAAGATTATGGAATCCGTAATCATCTTCTCGTCTATCTAACACACCGGTGCGCACAGGCGATCGAGACAAAGCGAGAGGCTTGTGCGTGAAGCTTGGACATAGCAAAGGCCTTCGATCGCGTGTGACATAAGGCGCTCCTCTCAAAGCTCCCTTCCTATAGGCTTCCGGAGAAATTATTTATTTATTTATTAACTTCTTTTTGCACAAACAACAATTCATTGTAAAATGGCGGACTTAATGCCACATTTTTGCCACGTTACATGAAATTAAGTTTTACATGTAACGAGATAATAACAAGATAATGTGACGGAAATAGGTGAGTTGTGTATGGAATAGAGGGTGGTGAGGGCGTGCAGATGACGGTGGTGACGACACGTGAGCCAGTTCAATTCGCAAGGATAGGAAGGAAAAAGACGAATCGAATTCAGTTATTCAGAAGGCAGTCATATTTATTGAGGAGATCTGCATTCAGGTCATAATAGCATACATCACCATAATCCAAGATAGGGACAATAAGGGTCTGTACTAGCATCGCCTTTGGCAATTTTTTTATCCCTACCACTTTTTTTATTGGGACTAATCCCACCCACACGCCCACCACTGTAACTCCTGTACACCAGGATCCACAGCAGTGACCCACGAACACACCGAGTTATGACACTCGGGAAGTCCCAGGAAGAAATTAAACTGTCTTGGAACCCGCAACGAAATTAATCAGAAGAAAATTGGAGGAGTTGGAAATACAGTAAATCCACTTCCCTCCTTAGCAAGGCGGGAGACAAAATGAAGTAAAATGGGCATACACCCTTTAAACAGGGGAGCACCACGGCCACAAATATTACGGGTCCTACGTGAGCTATGTTTGATTTCTATAATATGTATGGCAGAATCGCCTAAACGCACGGAAATTCACCCTAGTTGACACAAGATCCCCATAGTATACCGCCCCAGATGTCACCTGCAAGCTATTCAGCATTATATTACGTTCATTATACCAAAGACTACATTCCCAGAGGATATGATGAGCAGACTGTTCATAGTGAGAGTTAGGTGTTGAGCATTGACACAATGGTGACTCGACTAATTTAAATGAATAAAGCTTGCTCTTAAAGTTACCATGACCCGTAAGAAATTGAGCGACACAGTGATCCACCTCAAGCCATATCCTCGACAACCGTTCGCGAACAGATGGAAAGAATTGGTAAAGATGGCGCCCCTTGGATGATTCATCCCAGCGTTGTTGCCATTCGTCTATGAGGTCATTATAGACATCGGGCTGCTGTTGAAGCAATCTTGTAATTTTACCGCGATGCCGCGCGCCCAAAAAATCGCATTCCATGTTTTGTTGTCTTGAATAGTACATGGCTGCACGTCTCTGCACCTCGACCCTACCACTTGGATAATTGGCACCCCACCACTGTGCGCTTTTCGAGACACTTTTGGAATGACCATCTCTCACCTGATGGAAACTGACCATCGCCACCCATGAACGTCTGCAACTTAGGAGACGCAAACGCGTTGCTGGCCTTTTAAGGTCATATCGTTCCCGAAATACTGCAGACGATAACCCGTTCCACAGATTAGTTGTGCGGGGCAAAAAGTGCGGCTGGTATTAGTCTGAACAATTCCTCGGAGCAATCTCCATGATATACGGACCGATACTACCTTTAAGTCGAACTCGTGCGCCGAGGGTTCCGTACTTACCCAGATTTTACGTAGATTTTCGCGAAAATTTGTAAGTACCAGAATTTATCTTAATTTTCAACTTTTTTTTATTTTTTGGAATTATTCCTTTACTTGTGCTGTAAGACGTTTTTTTTGCCAAATTTCGTAATTCTAGGTCAACGGGAACTACTATATAGGTTTTCGACCCAAAACCTATAGGATACTTCCGGTTGACCTAGAATTGTCAATTTTGGTTAAAATCAAGGTCTTACAGCACAAGTAAAGAGAAAATTCTGAAAATTAAAAAAAGTTGAAAATTAAGGTAAATTTTGGTACTTACAAGTTTTCTCGAAAATCGAAATTTGCCCATATCTTTTTATCGTGTTGAGTCAGGAGCTTGATTTTTATACACCTAATAGGGACCATAGACCTCAGTATCTGGTTTAAAGTTCAACTTGCTAGATCTACCCGTTCCCGAGAAAATTGATGGTGACACACGGACAGACGGACAGACGGACCAGAAAGTGATCTTATAAGGGTTCATTTTTTACCTTTTGAGGTACAGAACCCAAAAAAGCCGGTCAAGTGCGTGTCGAGCCACACCTAATGTAGGATGCCGTGGTTATTTCATATTAAAAACTATATGGGTTCTGTTTTGCCATTTTGGCTACAGAACCCTTTAAAGTTGAGGTTTCAACAGACAGCAAAACAGGCATGACCCACAGAGGTGAAGTGGGACATGGGTCGATTTGATAATCCTGATGATCTTACCGATCCACTTTTAACCACACATACGCAGGCGCTGCGGGCATGGCAAACAGGGCTCGAAATCCAGGGCTTTGCTAACCAACGCGCCGTCGCAGGCGTTCTGCCGAGCTTTGAAGCGTAGGTAGGGAGGAACGACTGTGTCACCTACCGATTGACTCAGATGCTCACCGGGCACGGTTGCTTCGATGAGTATCTGATTCGAATCGGACGGGAGGTCACGACACAATGCCATCATTGTGGGTCCGACACGCACTCCCAAGACTGCCCTACGTGAGAGTCCTGGTCGGACAGAATGGCACTGGCGAGTGGTCAGCCGGACCGGGCAGCCGCTCTCCTACTGCGACGATGTTATGCTCCGAAGGAGTCTGCAGAGCGGGATTGAGAGAGGACTGATCCCGCTCGAAGGATGCAGCGAAGGGGACGCGCCAGAGGTCGCTAGCTTCCTAATCGCTGCCTAAGGGTCGCTGGAGCTACATCATGTGGCTGCTGCAAACAAACCGAGACGGACGTCTAGGACGGTGCGCTTTTGCGGCTCTTACTGTGTAGAGCAGTGAGGGGCGCGGCATGAGCGTGGATCACCCTGGCATGCTCAATCATGGGGTAAGGCAGGAAGGACTCCAGAAGTCGCTGATGCGTTCCTGGAGCTCCTCCCAACTGTCCGCTGTTAGTCCGAGTTAGTCCGCTGCGGGGTTTAGTGGGTAGACCGGTTCTCCAGGAGCGCGTCTCCACACAAATCCTCCGTTTCACCAACGGAGGATATGGTGCCACAAGCATTCCCGTAAGAGGGGAAAAATCCTGCCACACACAGTTCGGCAACATTCAACGGTTTCACTAGAAGAAAATGCATGTGACATTAAGTCCGGCTTACGCATTCTATTTGCAACAAGATTTAATTATTAAAAAAAACCTTACCTCGTAACTAGTAACCTACGTAGGACGCTGGTAGTGCTCGCATCCCAGTCTTTGGCGTGCTTTGGTAACTAACCCAGGCTGTGTTTGTGCTGGGTACTAGGTTTACTTTTTACTTTGCCCAAATTAAGAACGAATAGTTTTCAAAGATAATTAAGGCCAGTCCGGGCCATTTACTTTGTAATTTCTAACCAAACACCATTTGCACCTTTTTTTTTCCGTGCGGAAATCCCCTCGGATACCACCTATCGGTGGCATGTCGGACTCGAACCGACTAAAACCACACGCCGTCTCGGGTACTAATAGCTTGGGAACCAGGTATACCCTAGAAAGGAAGTCCCTGGTGCCCCGACATACCTCGGGCCATCTACAGACGAGTAGACGACCCCCCCGTGTGGGAACCCCATGTTCCCTCTGCTCCCTGGAAGCGAGCGTTACGAAGCGCCCCTGCTTCTGCTAGAGTGACAGATGGCCTCATCTGTCACCCCCAGGTCTGCGCTTATAGAGGACGGAGGTCGTTCTGCGACCTCCGGCGCCTGAGTCGCCTGCTGTACCTAGCCCGTTCCCGGGCCTGGCGGGCCGGGAGAGTTCTAAACCTCTCCCGGTCCCGCTCCGCCGTCTACTTCTCGAGCATAACTTGCTCGCAGAAGGAGACGGCAGAGTTCCACGCACTCTCGCTCCGCACAATAGCCGTAATCAAGCTATCGAGCGAGAGAACTCCCACTCCGATGGCCGCCACGAGGTCTCGCCTCTGCTCAACCCACGTCAGGCACTCTGCCAGCGTGTGGAAAGCCGTGTCCACGGTCTGGCCATCGCAGTGGTGGCACTCAGGCGTTGGCTCCTTGCGCATCAGACACAGGTGATCCCCGAAACATCCTTTCCCAGTGATCACCTGCGTCATTCGGTATGAGAGGGTCCTGTGACGCCTCTCGAGCCAATCCTCCATAACGGGTCTTACCGCCGCGATGACGGCGTGCCCGACACCATTTGCACCTAATATGTGTAACACATCGTCCTAGCCCCAAATCCATTGGTGAAAAGCAAGAAGAGGACGAGAATTCGAAACTAAATAGATGTCAGATCATAAATAGTTGCAGTATAAAAGTTCTGATATTCGAGATATTTGGACTTGTCAAAAAGTAAACAGAACTTCAATCAAGACGGCTGCCGCCTTTCAACTGTTAATCTTATGCACTAACAAAGTTATAATTCCCAGACGTGCTCAGTCAATATGTGGTCAGGATCCAATAATCCAATAATTGAGTGGACATTGGCGCGATCTCCAGATTTCTCAGTATAAATTGGCGGGAAAACGTTTCCACAGCATCAGTTGAGGTTCGCCTTCGACAGAGTTACCACTAAGAAATATATTTACAAAATAAAGGTAACTTAGAGATATTTTTTCTGTAGTCACTGTATCAGATATAATAATTGGAAGTTATCCTAGTAATAGTTATCATCATCAATCATCATTTTTATTAATATGCAAAACCTGTTTGAATTTAAATTATTTATAATATAATCCGTAAAGTTTAAAGTAAAAAAATGAACCATTACATTTAAAATATAAATAGTAGCAACACTTAAGAGTGTTATAAATTCATTTGGAAAAGTAACTAACTTAATAACCATTCTAGATGTCTGGAGTCATGATGCGTTTCACCATTGGTCTCGTCTGCGTGGTAGCTGTTCTGCTTTCATTAGCAGAGGTCAGCGAAGCTAACTACAAAAACGCCCCTATGAACGGAATCATGTTCGGCAAAAGAGGACCAACTGGTAAGAAACACATCTTTTATCGTTGTAAATTAACATATTCGAATGAATACAAGATTTGGAAATGAGATTCATCAATTGATGTCTATTACTTTTTGTTTAAGACAACTCCCACACTAGTAATATACCCTGTGTCGTGGAGTTCTTTACACATATACATGAAACGAACACAAAGAACACCCAGACTCAGAACAATAATTTGTGGATCACACAAAGCGTCAGTTCCATGTGGGGATCGAACCTACAACACTCAGCGTAGTTGTGAGAGGTGCGGTGACCGCTTAGGCCACTACGCCATCCGTGCTGTCAAATTTTGACAGGTATATCGGACAGTCTTCAATGTTCTGTGTTTAATGGAAAATTGCCATGATTCTATTTTAAAGAAGCAATCTGCTTTAAATAAAGTAATTATTTATGTGATTTTTCATGGCGAATTACATAATAACAATTTCGAGTCGCCAGTGAAGTTGTTAAAGTTGAAGTCTACGCCACCAGACGATCTAAAGTACCTACCAAGCTGTTATAGGTGTTCTTAAGACATTAATATCTCTCGATGGGATTAATATCTGTTAATAATACTGTGTATTTTATTTACAGAATACGACTCTCGGGGCAAAACCTTCTCTGCTCTTTGCGAGATCGCTACTGAAGCATGCCAGACGTGGTTCCCCTCTCCCGAAAATAAGTAATTAATTTCGCCTAAGCTTATTGTAACGAAAATAGCATTGGATCTTGGATTATGGTAGAATAAATCATTTTTTAGGGACATGTAATATTAAAAATGGCAGCATTTTGTGCTTTTGACTATCATATGCAATTCTATATCATAATTTTTAAAGGCTGGGAAATTATGAATTAAATATAGAAATATATGCTTTAGTCACATACTGTTTTTTTTATTTTACTACTAACCCAAAACAAGACCTAAAAACAACTTTGAAAAACTATTGCAGTCATCCCAAAATAAATATGGCGCTCGGAAGCATTTTATATTTCGAATACATCAATATTAGGTAATCCAAATGTAATATACTTGTGCATAATTCACTTCATACCTACTATGTACGTACAGCAATTACATTCTAAAGGAGGTTGGCGTCAGGCCGATCAGGTTTTCATAAATATAAAATTTATTTATAAGTGTCGTATTATTGAGCTAGACTCAGATCATTGCGGGTTCACTCTTTACGCGAACAGGACCAAGGTTCAAAGGAAACAAATTAATTATGTTCCTAGTTATTGACTGCCTCGGTGGTGCAGTGGTAGCGTATACGACTCCTGTGCTGAGTTCTCGGGTTCCATTCGGTCGGACCAAATGTTTGTATGATCTGCAAAAAATTTTTTTTGGAGTTTGGGTGTTTTCTATGTATGTTATTACAAAAAAGTACTCGTATTAATTAATGTATCAGTCAATCTGGTTTTCCTAGTACAAGCTATGCTTAGTTTGAAACGTAAGTAGATTACGTTGTGTGTCAGATGTCCGTCAAATAATATTATTCTTATTCTTAGTTCTTATTAGTACATAGAGCTGCATCGGCCAGTTCAGAAATAAAATTATAGATAAGTTGTCAAAAAAAAAATGTCCTATGTTGGTGACCCTAATCAAGCGTTTTTGGTTTGTTATTTAATATTTTTAAAAATGAATTAAGATTAATTTTTACGTCAAAACCACTAACGATTAGTAACAACATACTTAAATAAAATTATCGAAAAATAAAGTTAAAACTACATGGGAAATGATTAACGTTGTAACCACTGAACAAATCGTATCTTCCATTTGGAAAATAAATACCTAATGTAGATGTAAAGACAGACGTGGAGGTTGCAACTGAGTAAGAACATTTTTTTTACTAACATTCCTATTACATTTACAACAACCAAAACTGGTTCGACATCCTCTGCTTCTGTTTGTTTTTAAGCTATTGCATAGCTTCTATCGCGGGCCGTGAGCGTGGAGACAGAATCCTGAAATTCCGTAACGAAAATAACCTAACACCCGCCACTCCGACCGGCACAGCGGTGATACTTTTTAGTTTTGCCATCTATCGATGAATAGCAGAACTTTTAATGACTTTTTTGAAATATCACGCTTGTCTCTTTAGTTCAGCAACTCGCCTCTAGGTGGCATTGGTTGTGACGCGGTATTTTCCAGATATTTAGAAGATATCAAGTCTCAAACTTATGTTTCTTATTTCAGTTACCATAAACCTATAGTTTCAATGATATAATATTCCTGAATAACCTACATATTATATTGTAAGATAATACAAATATGTTGAACAATATTAACTTCTCATTTAATTAATAAAAGAAAAAAAATTGTTTTCTTATCGGTCACCACGCTCAAAAAGTGTAACTTGAATTAATTTCAAAGAAAAAAAAACAAAGGAAGAAAAAACTGCATAAATAAAATAAATAAATTGTTATAATTGCATAAGGTGATAAAAAATGCTATGCAATAGCTTTACCGCGGCAGTCCCCGAGTGACACACGTCTTTTTTTATTAGAAAAAAAGTGTAAATACATAAATGAGATAGAATTTTTAAATTTCCGTTGTCAGTGCGAATGACGTTATCGAAGCTTTTAAACATTTAAACAGCTCATTTTATCACACTATGTCTGCAATATATATATATATATATATATATATAGGGTGATATCTCCATATTTTGAAATTGTCTTCAATTCTTGATCGCATCTGGTGTGTTTCCTGATCTGATGAAACAGAATAAAGTAAGTCCATCCTTCAAATCTGGTAGCAGTTCTGATCCAACCTTTCGATTTATCTCAATACTTCCCACATTGAGTAAAATTTTTGAAAAATTGCTTTTGAACCAAATGTTACGACATTTTACTAAGTATAACTTGCTTCATCAAAAGCAATTCAAAAGCGGATATTTACAAAAGGTCGTTCCACTATGGACGTAGGCGTGGAATTGCTTTGAACACATATTTAGAACCTGGGAGAATTTACAAGATGCTTTTGATATCTTCTGTGACTTGTCTTAGGCCTTCGACTGTGTCACCATCCTACAATTTTACAGCAGAAATTTTGGTTGCTAATGATGATGATGATTTTTATGTTGTAAGCATATAGTAAGAAAGGATTTTTGGAAATGACATCCCTTATTGGGTAAAATAAAGCATTTTTATGTTTATAGAAACACGAAATAAGAATAAAAATAAGAAAACCGTGGGTTGATTGGGGGGAGGGGGGGGGGGGCAGGGCGTCACGCGAAAATATTTCAGACTTTACTTTTCATAATAGATATTGCTAGCCATAGATGAAGTAGACTATCATATCATACTAAAGGGATAGAGTACTTACATACGTTACACTCACGCTGGCATCCCCTAATTGTTAAGCAGAGCTGTATTAACCTCTGACATGCCACTATATTGTCCAGTGCTTACTTAGTTAGTGTAGCGGCATATCAGCTCATTATAGTTCTATCTTTAAACCTATAGGATAGAATACGTACTCTCGTAACAAAACTAGACTAAATAATTGTAAGTATAGCAAGGTTCGTTGTTAGTTACGCCTTGAGCTGTAAATGCTGAATGCTATTAAGCTTACACGTTGTCCAGGAAACAAAAAAGGACTTAAAAGAATTTCATTCAGAGAAAAAGTATTGTTTCTGAGGGATATAAATAGTTCAAGAAAAACTGCTTGCGATGAATGGAATAACAACTAGTTCAAATTTCAGTTGTATATTTGAACAGGTGTCATTGTATTAACTAGCTAGGCTTCCATTCGAGCCAAGTCAAATGTGCACTATCGTCTTCCAGATGAAATTAATCAATTAAACAGAATAGGTCCTACATGTACAAAAGCACTGTTTCACTAATTGGATGTCATAAAATCAGCGAACCAAGAACCGCTCAGTAAATGTTAAATAAAATCTGCATGAAATGAACCGTTACATTGGCCTATATACGTGTTTTTTAACATGGCAGCACCGACCGTGGGAACTTTGAAGATAATGTGTTACTTTCGATTTGCAATTCTGTCAAACGTTTTTATGTTTTAATTAGATTCCAATAAGAACCGCTTCCTTGTAGAAATCATGTAATATTGACTCACTCATAGCAACTGAACAACTAGGATCATTGGAATTATTGCGATAATATTGATAAAACTGATAACACTGAAAATAAAATGTCAATAACATTGCAGTGACGTTTCGCATTCGGAAAATTGTATTTCGAATCTACCTTACAATATAATATTAAAATGGATTATTTAAGTTACGAACTCGTGGTGAAAAAATGAAATGAATTGAAATATTTCTTTCAATAATCAAGATTATTGTGAAACATTAAAATGACGACGAAGGAGCTGTATACAAAGGTAAAACCTTATAATAAATTGTGTCTGAGATTGTATTTTGTTTTTGGCCCTCTTTTTTTATATTGGTAATTAAACCGTGATTAAACTTTTTAAGATCCTTTGACGAATAAAAGATTGATATTTAAATATGTTTTCTACGCTATTTATTTAATTCATCAACAGGTAAAATCGAGATTTAATAACGATTGACCTTCTTGTTACTGGGGACGTCACTCTCATCGTATACATATGCGAGTGCTAATTTCTGCATCGTACTATCATTTTTTTTATTGTTCATTATTGGAAGATAACATTATTACATCCGTGTTGATGTTAGCCGCTACGAACACCGTCCTGACGTAAAAAAAAACTAAACAAATGCTAGAAATAGCTTAAATAACAATATTTTACACTAGTATATATTTAAAAATGATAAAGTTAGATAGTTTTAACGCTTATAAGCGAATATAATAAATTATTCTAATCAGTTTTCCTATCTGGGGCAATGACATCATATTTTTTCATGTTCATGAATTATTTAACAATAATTTTACAGTATATGAACACTTATGTAAGGTACATAAATGTTTGTAATTGCACATTAATTAATTGACCATCTAACAGATTGTTACATTATCATTAAATTTTGTGTTAACTGTTAAATAAATTTAACAAAATGATACACTTACAATTATATGATTAATTCTTTATATCATTAAAAAAGAATTGATTGATAGAAAATTTAAAGCATAGTGTTTAAAGATATTAACATATTTATTACATGATCATAGTTGATTTCAGTTTAGGCAATTTTGCAGGCATTGTTTAACAAATTAAATTTTATAAATACTGCTATTCACACGGAACATAAAATTAAAATAAGCATATGCTTTGCTGGCAAATGTTATCAGTTTTTAATGATGCAATGCAATATAATATATAAAAATATTAAGTTGGTTGATGTACGCTTCAAAAACTTATAAAAGTTCTGTATGATTGAGCTCTAATTTTAATAGGAAATTAAATGCACTCCAAAGATTGGTCTCACTTTTCTCCCTCATTTTTCACCAAAGAAACTACAATTTACCTCAGCAAAGCATGGTAGGGTATAGCTAATATTGTATATATCTTTGAACAGTTTACTATAGTTATGAAAACATTTTAAATAAAAATATAATAATGCAAAAGAACTGAAAAGAAGTGATGTCTAATAAAAAGAGAATAAAACCAGGTTCGCGCTCCTTGGTGGAGGCACTCGTTAAGCAGTGGAAGGCGATAGGCTGATGATGATTACTCTTTATTGCCATGATGTGAATAAATTTAATGGTTTAAAAGCTGTGCATATACTTATGGTCAAGCTCCACCCAACAGATATTACAGCCGTACCGAAACCAGATAATTATATGCAATTCAGAAAGAAATATTTCTTTCACGTCAATACCAGAGTCCACGCAGTAGTAATATCCTCATGTTAAATGCTAGTTCTGTTTTCAATATAAACATAAATCTAATGTAGGTTTAGGTTTATTCTCTGTTCTTAAAATTACTACTGTGGCAACTTCCACATACAGTGAAACAAAGAAACATACTACAGCGCCATCTAACGAAGTCACACAGAACTACCTAGTAACTGCTAATCCTGTATCGCGACATAAAATAATTCTCAAGCCGCTGGGCCGCGGCCCGCCTGGCATGATCACCACGCCTGGTCGTAGGATCTTCTTTTTGTGTAGGAGGGACATGACATCTGGTCTTCAAAAACTTACATTAATCATTTTCCTCATTAACACTTGCTATAATGTCCAAAGCCTAACTTGACCACTTTTTACATTACCACTACCTAAACCGCGTCTTCTTGGGACACTGCTGTTGATTTTGGTGTATAGGAGGTACAGTAGTGCCTGTGTGAGGCCTTTATAGCCCACCATATTCGCTATTTCTTGATTCGGGATTTCTTCCTTTGACCATTTCCTACATTAACCATTTCCCAATTTGCCCTATACTGATTGATTGATCATAACAAATACATCCTCCTTTTTAGGGTTCCGTACCTCAAATGGTAAAAAAGCAACCATTATAAGATCACTTTCTTGTCAGTCTGTCCGTGTGTCACCACCGATTTTCTCAGGAACGGGTAGACCTAGCAAGTTGAAATTTATACCAGATACTAAGGTCTATTATCCCTATTAGGTGTATAAAAATCAAGGTCCTGAGTCAACACGATAAAAAGATATGGGCAAATTTCGATTTTCGCGAAAACTTGTAAGTACTTTTTCAGAATTTTCTCTTTACTGTGCTGTAAGACCTTTTTTTTTTTTTTTTTTTTTTAACGTGTGGAAATCCCCTCGGACCGTCACCCCTCCGGGGTTTGCGGCGGGGTGGTGTGTCGGACTCGGACCGACTAAAACCACACGGTGTGCCACTCTGCGCCTGTAACAGGAGGGATCCGGGAACAGCTGTTGTTAAGACATCCGGACCCCTCCTAGCGCCAGCCCGCTCCTGGTGCGGGCTCCGTCTCATTGTAGATGTTCCTCTCTTTAGGCGACGTCCGGCACACGCGGACGCCGCCCCCTCGCGGCTGGCCAACTAATGCGGGTGGAGGGGAAACCCACCCCGTCCACCCGCGGCCACACTCAGGGCGGCATGAGGCTGTGGTAGGCGGGCCTCCGCCGCCCGGTTCGCCGGCGGCGGATCGGGTCCGAGTGGAGGTCGTCCTCCCGGGCCCTCTCCGCCGCCTCCTTCCGCGAGATTACTACCTCGCAGAAGGTTGCGACCGCGGTAAAACAACTGTCGCTACCGGCCATGGAGCGTACTACGGCCGGTAGCGAGAGATCCACTCCGATGACTGCAGTGAGGGCCCGGCGCTGCGCCGCCCATGCGGGGCAGACCGCTAGCGTGTGCTGGGCCGAGTCCTCACTGCAGTCGCAGTGGTGGCAGGCGGGACTCAGTTCCCTCCTAGCGACCGTGTGCAGGTACTTTCCGAAGCAACCGTGCCCGGAAAGCACCTGCGTCAGTCGGAAGGAAAGGGTCCCGTGCTGCCGCCCTGCCCACTCGGCGATGACCGGCTGGAGAGCCTCCACGGCGGCGAAGCCAGCGCGTGGAGTCTCCAGCCGGAACGACCAACGAGCCATCGTGGCTCGGCGAGCGGCTTCGCGCCACTCGCGCACATCCTCGGGCGGAGGGCGAAATCCGCTCTCCGCCCGGTAGTCAGCCACTCGCCGATAAACTTCGGCGAGCACTTCCGCCTCCAAATCCCACGGGGGAGTTCCGGCCAATGCGCATGCCACCCTCCGTCGAAACGGTGCGGTAACCGCGTATGGCTCTGACCGCCATTACCCTCTGAGGGCGCCAGAGGCGTACCCTATTCTGGGCGGTCAGAGCCGCCGCCCACACCGGTGCACCGTACAGTGCCATTGACCGGACAACCCCCGTGTACAGCCGTCTTGTCGCGACGCTGGGTCCACCCATATTGGGCAAGAGTCGCCCTAGGGCAGACGCAGCGCCGACCAGCTTTGGAGCAAGCTGTCGGAAGTGCTCGTCGAAGAGCCACCTCCCGTCGAGGATCAGGCCCAGATATTTCATCTGGGCCCGAACCGGTACGAGGACCGAGTTGACCACGATGGAGGCGCCAGGGGGTGGACCACGACGGGGCCCATGGAATAACAGGGCCTCCGTCTTATCTAGGGCCACCCGTAAGCCCAGCGCCTCAATGCGCCCGACCACCAGGGAGACTCCCCCTGTGGCCAGGCGCGCCGCCTCTTGGAAGTTTGCCCCCCGGGCTGTCACGAGGGTATCGTCTGCGTAACAGATTACACCCAGCCCGGGGGGGAAATCGGCGCGAAGGGCCCAGTCGTACCCTATGTTCCACAAGAGGGGTCCAAGAACAGACCCCTGTGGAACACCGCACGACATGGGCCGACACCTCAGATTACCTTCTCGGTCCTCGTACACGACGGTACGCTCCTCTAAATAGTCTGCCACCAGCCGCCTCAGGTACTTTGGCACCCCATGATAGTGGAGTGCTTCCCTGATGCAGCTGAATGGCAGACTATTGAATGCGTTGGCGATGTCCAGTGACACCGCCAACAGCACGCCGCCACAGCTCACGGCCTCTTCGGTCACGGCCCTCAGGCGCAACACGGCGTCGACCGTCGAACGCCCCGCCCGAAAAACCAAATTGGGCGTCCGACAGATCGGGGCCCACCTCGCAGAGGTGCCGGACGATGCGGGCAGAAAGAACCCTCTCAAACAATTTGCCCGCCTCGTCCAGCAGCACGATGGGCCTATAGGCCGCGACCGAATCGGCAGGCCGTCCCGGCTTCCTCAATAGGACCAGCTTCCCGCTCTTCCAGCACTCAGGGAAGCGTCCCGACGCCAAGCTAGCGTCGAACACCTCCCCGAGGCGGTCTGCCATGTGGTTGAGGGCCAGGGCCAGCACTCGGGCCGGTACCCCGTCTGGCCCAGGGGCGGTGTTCTTGGAACGGATCCGTAGAACAGCCGCCCCTACCTCCGATTCCCGGACGGGCGGAACATTATCCTCCCCGTGCTCCCCGTCGTCTCCGGCCAAGGAGGCCATCGACGGGGGAGTGTGTTCCGCCCGTTGTGGGAAAAGGCCCTCAACCACTTCTCGCAGGAAGCTGGGCTGGAGAGTCTCCGTAAGGGGGGGGGCCCGACGCGCGGAGCTTTTGTCGCACCGCGCGGTAAGGGCGACCCCAGGGGTCACGATTAAGACCCTCCAGCATCTCCTGTCTTTTTTCTTCTTTGGCGCGGCTAATGGCCAGCTTCAGAGTTTTCCGCGCCCGTCGGTACTCCTCATGAAGCCGGTCCTCCTCACCGTCTCCACGGTGACGCCGCCGACTGCGCGTGTAGGACCTCCGGGCACGAGTCCTGGGTCCGGGAGAGCTCAAAAGACCTTGGCTTAACCAAAATTGACAATTCTAGGTCAAACGGAAGTACCCTATAAGTTTTGGGCCGAAAACCTATATAGTAGTTCCCATTAACCTAGAATCACGAAATTTGGCAAAAAGAAACGTCTCAGTACAAATAAAGAAATAATTCCAAAAAATAAAAAAAAAGTAGCAAATTAAGATAAATTTTGGTACTTACAAATTTTCGCGAACATCTACGTAAAATCTGGGTAGGTACGGAACCCTCGGCGCACGAGTTGTACTCGTACCTGACCGGTTTTTTTTCTGGGGTCATGTCAAAGCTGAATTTAGATACAGGTAGTTATCATCCTTCCTTCCTCCGAGCCTTTATCCCAAACTAGGTTAGGGTCGGCTTTAAGTCTACCACGATACTGCAGAATGTCGATTTGTCACGCGAAGCCATCAGCCTCTAAGTTCTCTAAGTGATATCGAAGTTCTGTAGAAAGACTGTTCTCGGACTTTTTAGGGCTCCAAGTACCCGTATCGAAAATAGAAAGGAGAAATAAAAATAATATAACGTAAGAAACGTAAGACAAAGTTTTTGTGTCTACAGGGTGCCCGGATATGGGTGGAGCATCCGGAGAAGGTGTGGGAGAGCGCCACGGTGACGTCAGACTACCGTTCCGGTGTGCTTATTGTCAAGATTGATCAAACTAATGCGATTCGACAGATTAAGGTCAGTACTCAATGAAAAACTATAATACTGAATTTTATATGACATATTTGGTAAGATTTGTTTGGTTGTTAGACTGCACGGATGGCTCAGTGGTTTAAGCGGTCACGGTTGGCTGCTTCCTACTGCGCTAAGTGTTGTGGGTTCGATCCCCATATGGGACATCACTTTGTGTGATTCACAAATTGCTGTTCTGAGTCTGGGTGTTCTTTGTGTCCGTATCATGTATGTCTGTAAAGTCCCCCGGATGAGTTATTCCTAGTGCGGGAGTTGTCTTTTAAATATATTTATAATAATTATTTTATTGTTTGACAATAGGAAGAACTCAAGGTGTGTGGAATTCCTAAATATTTTCCGCTATGTACTATGTACAAATAACAATTACATCAACGGCCATAAGGACGTTTCCGTACTGCGATATTTCACTGCACGTCTATACGCACTGTCGGAACAAAAATTCATGCGAAAAAATAACTGATTTAATGCGAATTGAACGCGATACGCTGTCAATCGACTGACATACGCGAATGTTTTGTGCAAAATGAAGTAGATATGGCTATTCGCAGTATAGTATATAGTATATTTCTGATCGCAGTGTACTCGTATGATACAATAAAAATCTCTTAGCGAAATATATTGTTGTGCCAACAGGCCCTAAAAGAAAAAGTTAAAAATTTTCGCAAAAAAAATAATTAGTGCGTGAAAGAGGATGTATAGTTATGAAGAAGAATGAAAGAGGAAACTCATTGCACCGGCCCAAAATAAAAAACTAAACAATATATAATTTACCGTGCGACAGACATGCTTGATCGGAGTGATAACACGGCTTTACGGAAATCCGGTGTTAGCAATTCTTTGATATGTTTTTGAAAATAACGAACTTCACTTCGAAATTTCCAAAAATCCTTTCTTAGTGGTATAAAAATATAATATCATTAGATGCCAAAATTTCAAGTTTGTAGCCCCACGGGGTTTGAGTTCCGTGTTGATGAGTCAGTCAGTCAGGGCAAGTAATTTTATATGTACCTATAGATTATAATTATCACGATATACAGGACCGGACACGATATATATACACGAAATAATAGGACAGAGGGAAGATTTGCATCAAAGTGGACCATAATTAGTTGTAAATAAATATTATACATAAAACATTTCATAACTATAATTTAATTGACAATTGACAAAGGCCCGCGACGCCCTTGTGACTCCTGAGTTGCAAGCGTTCATGGGTGGTAATCACTTTCCACCCGTGTGCTCGTTTGAGCACATATGAAAAAAAAATCTCTCTATCATGAAAAAAAAATTGTCTGCCTTAGATCACAGATGAGGGAAAAATGCCTCCCTTACGGAACCCGTCGCTCCTCATCGGGCAGAATGACCTCACGTCTCTGTCGTACCTTCACGAACCAGCAGTTCTACACAACCTCAGAGTTCGGTAAGTAGCCATTTTTTCTGATACTGTTTCTTTATAGTCGTTGTCGTAACATATGTGCTATGTTACACATCCTTTTACTAATACTGTCAAAACTTTGGGATCGTTTGGAAACCTGGAGGCAGGCACTGCGTTAGGGGATAAGGTGGCGACCTGATCGCATTAAGACGCGATCGGGCCGCCACGCTGTTATTGAAACGATTGACGGGGGGAACTTTTCAGCTTTACCCGAGATAGGGCCTGGTTAGGCGCGGTGTCGATTCGGGGACGACTTGAAATCACATGATCCGTGTCCTCCTCAGAGAGCTTGAGGCCAGCCTTCGGGGTGGTTTTTAGTGGAAACATCACATACTCCTGACGCCTGCGTGCCCAAGGAGCCGATTAACAAGGGATCGTTTAGGTATTACGTAAGCACCAAAGGAAAGTGGAGGTTTCAATTACAAAGTTTGCGATTTCACATTCAAGTCGTTTAAAGCAAATATAATTCCTCCATAAATTATTCCTCTTCTGAGTCCTGGGGCTCTCTAGGATCACAAAAATGATAGTAATAATAACTTAATACACGGCCATTTGATCATGATCATGTGCTGAATAGAACCCAATCCTTTTGGCTTAGCAGTTAGACCAACGGGCTCGACCGCTAATTCACCACCTTCAACAGCCTTTAATAGTTCACTTTACATAGGCTTCTGCTTGGAACGGAGGTTTACCACGCTGGCCAGACGGGTTGGTAAGGGGTTTGTATCAAGTTTTCCATTTTTTTGCAATGTTGTTGTTCTGCGTAGTTTGCTCCCTTAGGCTCTTACGACAGTCAAGGGATGAATAGGGGTTGTGACACACCGTATCCTTAATCCGTAACCATAGGGACAGCTTATTAATACAACATGTAAATATCGGTCTCGAGTTATCGATAATTTAAACCATTACAGCAGGTTCTAGTTTGCACTTCTTCGAGTTTAATAAAATTTTAATAATCATTAAAAGATTCTCTTCTACAGCAATGAACTCAATATTGTAATGTTATTTTAAACTTGATGTAACACTTGAACACACATTTAGTCATCTATTGTTTAGTACAAATTGATTAACAATCTTATGTGTTTGAACTTAAAGTTTACAATTTATTGCGTTTGATGTAAAGGAAACTGGTTATCATATCACTTCTAACACAGACTGTGTACGGATGAGTCACTTCGATTAAACTTAATCAGAAATCTGTGTTTTATAGAATCTTGTTCAAGAGATAAGCATGTATCTGTTTAGAATATGTCAAATGGACCTATGCGTTGAGCATAATTACTTTATAATCATGTTACCAAAACGCTTTTTTTGTACTTTTGGGACTTCATTGACCCATATTTTCGACTTGTAAAAACTCTTGAAAATTCTTTACAGTTTCGAAGAGTTAAATTAAGTTACTATAGATAATTTTATAATTTTATCCGTGTGGTGTTGGATTAAGAATACGGAGTGTCACCACCCCTATTCATTCTCGTTGCTTTTCACCGAATGAGTGAGGTTACCGGAGACCAAACCCCCACCTCCCCCTAATTCTTTTCTATTACATAAAAATCGTTCAAGCTCAGAGTGTCCCTTTCCCAAAATATCCCTGGGTTTCAAATAGTCCCTTTACCAAAATGCACCCATCCCGAAATGTCCCTTTCTGAAAATGTCCATGTCATTGTTCAATTCCAAAAATAAAACGATTCTAATTAAATTATCCATGTCCAATATAATTACGGATTAAGAATACGGAATGTCACTACCCCTATTCATTCCGTGGCTGTCGTAAGAGCCGACTAAGTGAGCAAACTACGCAGGACAATAGCACTGCAAAGAGAAGGAAAACTTAACACATACCCTATACCAACCCGTCTGGCCAGCGTGGTATAGTAGGCCAAAGCCTCCTTTCTAAGGAGAGGCCTATGTCCAGCAGTGGATTATTAACGGCTTCTGATATTGACTATAGATACTTATATTTACAGGAATTAACGCGCTCACGATAAGTCTTAAGGACATAATTTGAGTTGCCTGAAGTTTTGATCAGGTTGCACTATCCGTGATCACAGGTTGACTGACTGACAGAGTCAGCCTCTGCCCACAGCCAGCCGACGAAAAAATACCAAATCTGTCATGTGTGTCTTTCTTGTCTCTTTCTAGTGAAAACTCCTTTAGGCGCGTTGGGCATTTTTGAACAACACACAAAAGAATGTATTTTTTGAGAAGGGAAACATTGAACTCGTGACAATGTTACCGTTACCGACACCTCTTAATATAAGTATCTACATATATTGGCCCCGTTTACACGAGAGTTGAGTTTCTGTTGAAATACATTAATAATATAACTATATATAATATAAACATATATTGTGTATATGCGTACAACATAGATATATATTCATGTCTAAACTTTTCTAATTGAAAAAACCAAAAAAATTAAAATCTTCTAGTTTTCACTTCTGTCGGGAGTGCCACTGTTTAATTTTATTCTTTTTTTTATTTATTCTTTCAGTGTAAACATATTAATAAGATCATTTTAATAAACATATCATTTCCTAAACCACGAAAGTTTATAATGAATGCTAAGGGTTAATCTAGATCGGTACAAAAATTGCAAAAAGTAAATCCTAAAAAATAGTTCTGAATGCAGTATAAAACAATACTACATAAATAAAAAAGCGAAACAGATAAAACAAAATAGATATTATAAATTTTGGTTCAAAAGAAAGACATGGTCGCACTTTAGTAAATCTAAAGTGCGACCAGGGACCTACCCTCCGAATTGCGAGATATTCTGACGCCAATGATAATAAATCTGGGAACTAAGTATTCGGTTGTTCTTTCTCACCGTATATATTATTTGTCTCCGCTAGTTTCGCACACAAGATTCCGAGTAGCGGCCTTTGTATATACAGCGTGTGTTTTTTAAATGTACTTTTAAAAACTTTTCTTTCAGTAAATTATTCCCTGTCGTGTCTGCAGCTACTTAAGCGCAAAGCTTCGTTACAATAGTACATTTTCTAATTTGTAATAATTTCACACTTTTGTTCCAGGTTCTGCGATCGCAATGCCATCTACACGTATTGTGGAATTGTTTTGGTTGCCATCAATCCTTACTACGATTTACCAATATATGGTAAGTCCTGTGTACCCTCCTAGGACATGATAACGGCGCCACGATCTTACCGCTTGAATTCTTTTTATATTATTTTTTAAGAAAAGGGGGTAGTTCTCAATTCAAGTGGAATACAATATTTGCTTTTTCTGTTGGTAGATTGCAATAGAAATGTTAGTATTATTAGATTAGTTTATGTTTTTCCGAAATTTTTATGTATTTCTGGTTGTCTGTCAGTCTGACTGTTTTGTTTTTAATTACGTTTGACAGATTCTCAAATTTAAAGCCACATTAGTTTTTAGAATGTTAATTAATTTCACCCGAAAAAGGGTGTATCTTTTTCGTTAATGATGTATGTCTGGTTGTTTCTCTTTTGTTTTTGACGGATTCTCAAATATGAGGTGTCATTAGATTCGACTCGGTTGTGGGAGCGGTGTAGGGTACAATATTTAGCTTTTTAGTTTATATTTTATTTATATAGTTATAGTTTTGAGATAGAGTAGTGAATGACTGACGCTCAATGATGCTGAAAAAACAGAGGGAATGCTCGTATTCAAGGTCATACAGAAATGACTTACTAAGTTTACAGTACAGTTTATGCTTTTATGTTCTTGGCAGGTGATGAAACAATTATGGCGTACCGCGGTCAAGCGATGGGTGACCTGGATCCACATATATTTGCTGTATCAGAAGAAGCTTATACTAAATTAGAAAGAGAGAGAAAGGATCAAAGTATTATTGGTAAGTTTTTAATAATTTAATAAGGTAATTAATTATCCATTACTATTAATCATATTTTATTACCATAATGTTAAGATAACGATCTACTTAGTAGTTACTCATACATTCAGAGACGTAACTAGAATACCAAAGGGCCCTGGAGCAAGTAAAAAATAATATTTTCTCAATTTTGAATGGAATGAAATGAAAAATGAAAAATGAAACGGTACTTTGAATACTATATTTCTGACCGTTTGCCCCCTCTAAGCTAAGCTAATCTTTTTACTGGTTCTCTGTAGTTTAAAAAAAAAATAACGAAATCATAATCTTTCATGATTTACTAATATGCTAAATTAAAAAAAAAAAACGGTAATTCTCTGATCAGCAGTACTACCACAAAGTCGTGTCACAACTTACTTTATTTACATTCCAAGGGTGGGAGAATTTTTAGCTAATTCAACACGAGGTTTGCTCGTCAGGGTCCGAGGCCCCCCCTAAGCCTGGGGGCCCCGGTGCACAGCACCGCCTAGCCCTTCGGTAGATACGCCACCGCAAACATCTATTTTTCAAAAGCAGCTTGTTCCATGTCATCTAAAATACTTATAATATATATTGTTACGTGTTAGGATTCCTTGATTTGGAATAATGAGCCTTCTGACGACTGTAGAGACTTTATTATCACTTACACTTAAAAACGTTCACACAATACTCAAGAATAGTCCGGCGTTAAATGGGAGAGGCCTATGTCAAGCAGTGGACTGCGATAGGCTGATGATGATGATATACTAACATTTGCTCGCGACTTCGTCCGCGTGGATATCAGACATCTTAGTAGTTATACTGAGAGTTTGAAATCGATAAGTTAAATAAAAACAGTGGCACTCCGGGAGTGCTCAAAGAAGTGAAAACTTGTAATTTTTTTATTATAACACCAAAATATTTGGGTTTTTTCGATTCGAGAAGTTCCGACTTGAATATATATCCATGTTGTACGTATATACACAATCTATGTTTATATTATATATATAGTTATATTATCAACTAGCTGAGACCTGCGGTGTTACCCGCGTTTGTTGTTATAACCGCGGGCAACGCCGCGGGTCGAAGCTAGTCTAAAAAAAGTAGCCTTGCGTTGGTCCTTGGTTGCCCGCGGTTATAACAACAAACGCGGGTAACACCGCGGGTCTCAGCTAGTCCATCATATAATTTAATACTGTTATTTATTATTTTTCAAACCTTTCTTACAGTGAGCGGTGAATCCGGTGCCGGTAAGACAGTGTCAGCCAAATACGCCATGAGATACTTCGCGGCCGTGGGCGGCAACGCCAGCGAGACACAAGTCGAAAGGAAAGTCCTAGCTTCTAGTCCTATAATGGAGGTCAGTTGAAAATAAACTCTAAAAATAAGGACACAGAGTCTAAATAGCGACTTTGACCTTGATAAACCAGAAATTATCCGTGTAGTGACGGATTAAGAATACGGAAGGTCACCACCCCTATTTATCCCGTGGGTGTCGTAAGAGCCGACTAAGGAAGCAAACTTCGCTGCAAAGAGAAGGATAACTGGAAACAAATCCTATACCAACCCGTCTGGCCAGCGTGGTATAGTAGGCTAAAACCTCTTGTCTACGGAAAGGCTTATGTCCAGCAGTGGACTATTACAGGCTGTTGATGATGAACCAGAAATGGCATATAAATTTCTGTTCAAGTGTATATTTCGAGAATGACCGACTTCCTTTCCCAGGAAGTATCAGGCTGTCGGTCGGCCACAACCGTTTATGGTGGGAGAGGCATGCTTTGACATAATTAGGTCAGCTCGACCAAAGTGCTACCACTGCTTTACAGAAATCCAGTGATAAGGTATTCCTTCATTGCTTTTCACCGAGTGGGTGAAGTGACCGGAGTCCCAAAACTGAGGAGCTCAAAGGGAGAGGAGGCAAGGTACTTCTTACGACACGTGCTCATCACGCAATTATGTCTTGGGTGGAATCGTACCTACGAACTCTGGCTTAGCAGTTAGTGTCACTAATCATTACACAAACAGGGCAGTCAAATAGCAGAAACACAAATAATATTAGATTTGGAGAGAATGAGAACTCAAATAGATTATATTCTATATTCGAAATTTATATTTCCAGGCTATTGGCAATGCAAAAACCACACGCAACGACAACTCCTCGCGTTTTGGCAAATTCATAGAGATCCACTTCGACAGTATGTACCGGATATCCGGTGCAAGTATGAGGACCTATCTATTGGAGAAGTCCAGGGTTGTGTACCAGAGCGGGGCTGAAAGGAATTACCACATTTTCTACCAGCTTTGTGCTGCTGCACAGCATATGCCTGAACTGCAATTAGGTAAAACTTGCATGAGTTGTATCTATAAACCAAGGGAGGGAGAAAGACATCACCAGAGAAGCTGATTTTAGTACTTAGCAATAAAGGGGTCTAATCACTTTGGATTGTATGTCAAAAAAAAGAAACGATTATGGTACTGAATAGGGTAAAATGTATGTGAAAGTGCAAAATTGGATCTGATGGGAGCAGTCAGGGTCACTATCTACTAGACCAGGGATTCCCAAAGTGGTGGCTATCGAGCCCTTGGGCTGAAATCAATTTCCTAGTCAACATAAATTAAAACTGATTATGAGGATCGACGAGGTCTAAAAATTGACCCCTTTTAATTAACACAAGTTCCTATTTGAGACTTTCAAAATACTGTATTAGTTGTGTTACGTTATATCAACTTGTTATAAAAATAACTAATATTTTAGTAGGAAGTATCATTGTTGTACTTTTAAAAAGCTCAACAAGTCGATAAGCATGCAGTAATTTGGCTATGGTTGTCTGAAATATCAGTTTATTTTCGAAAAGGGGTCTCCTACTCACAATACTTTGGGAATCCCTGTACTAGACCAACTGACTTTTGAAATGATGGATGGAAATTTGTACAATACTTTTATATTACAGATCACCAAGATTCCTTCCACTACTTGAACCAAGGAGGCAGTCCCAACATAGATGGTGTCGATGACTTGAGGTCTTTTAATGAAACGAGAAGTGCTCTCTCAACCTTAGGTAAGATTCATATTCAAATTTTTACTTATGACGTAACATAACGTAGCGAGTCCTTGGCAAAAAAAAACGTAACATTCCGCAGTCTGATCCCAAATTAGACAAAACCTGTGCTATGGTAACCAGAAGGAGATAATTCTCGTAATAAAAGTTCGGTCTAAAATTCAGTTCTGATCAGCACTCGATCTCATAACTGTCACAAAAAGTAATTTTCGTATTATGTCACATCACATATCATCAACAGCCTATAATAGTCCACTGCTGGACATAGGCCTCTTCTTAGAAAGGAGGTTTTGGCCTACTTTACCACGCTGGCCAGACGGGTTAGTATAGGGTTTGTGTCAAGTTTTCCTTCTTTTTGCAGTGCTGGTGTCCTGCGTTGTTTTACACCCTTAGTCGGCTCTTACGACACCCACGGGATGAATTGGGGCAGTGACATTCCGTATTCTTAATCTATAGATGAATTACACCCACAGATAGATCATTCGTGTGATGACGGATTAAGAATACGGAGTGTCACCACACAACCGGGTTGGTATAGGGATTGTGGCAAATTTTCCTTCTCTTTGCAGTGCTGTTGTCCTGCGTAGTTTGCTCCCTTAGTTGGTTTTTACGACATCCAGGAGCTGAGATTCTGTTGGTGACACTCTATATTCTTAATCCGTTACCACACAGATTGTGAATATTTGAAAGTACTATATTTTTGTTCAAAGCTGGATAAATCGATACCGCCGGCAAATTAAATTACCCGTAATTTTATAGATGAACACTTTATCAATGATACTATCAAAGCTTGACTAGGGATCTGTGGTGCACTAGATACCAATAGGCAGCCTATATTTTGTAGCCCATATTTTTTTTATTAATCAGGTGTCACTGAAACCGAACAGCAAGACATGTTTACAATCCTTTCAACGATTTTACACCTTGGCAACGTGGAGCTGAGCGCCTGCGACCCTGACGCACCACCCACTGACGACAATGATGATGGCGCTTATATCAACGTGAGTATTTACTAGCTATAGTTATTATTGCTTATGCCGTGGTTCATATTATTTTAAGATTTGTATGCCATATGGCAGAATGTACCAGGAACTTACTTTACTTACACAACATCTAATTTGTATTTTTTACCTGCATTCTAAACAAATAAAGTTTGATTTGATTTGATTTCATAACTTTGAAAATGACGAACTTCAATACAACCGTTCATCCCTTATTTTACCCCCTTAGGAAATTTCCAAAAATTCTTTTTTAAATAGGTGCTTTCAATTTAAAAGCATCAGCTGTCAAAATTTCAAGTTTGTAGCCCCAGCGGTTTAGGCTTTACGTTGTAGATTAATCAGTCAGACAAGCGCAAGGTTCTCTGACCGTCAGCCACACGCGACCGACGACCGACCGTCGCCGGTTGCGTATGAAACCTGTGTACGGGAACGCCGCCGACGACGTTCCTAACAATCCAGCGCTGAGCATTTCCGTACATAGCATTCGGTCGGCGGAAGTAATTTTATATGTAAAGTTAATAGAATACATTGTATAGTATAGATGTATATAGAATCTATACCTATGTAATAAGAAATAAGGCTTAAAGTATTCTTTTGCTTTTAACCGATTGACTGAGGTTGTTAGAGAACTAAGCCAATCCCCCTCACAACTAATACACTTAGAGTGCGATAATCATTCATAGTCCATCCCTAGTGCCATCATGTGATGCGTTTGGTAGTTTGCCACCATATACCATAAAATAACGAAAATTTCAGACCAATAATAGTACATTTAGACTTTCCTAAACGTTCCTTTTATAAATCAATGGAGAAAAATCTTTTCCAATTTGTCTTTTCAATATAACTTAAGCAAATATACCATTCGTTACGGAATGCTGTGTTCTAATGTTATTGGAATTAAATAATGACTTGGACATTTTGAGAAAGGGACATTTCGGGAAGGGGACTATTTGAAACCTAGGGACATTTTGGGAAAGGGACATTCTGGGCTTGAATGATTTTTTTGTAATAGAAAAGAATTAGGGGAAGGTTCCGGTAACCTCACTCACTCGGTGAATATCAACGAGAAAACTGTCGAACACTGGTTTTCTGTGAGGCCGTAGCATCACTCCGGTCGAGCCGGTCCATTTGTGCTGAATCATGGGTCTAAAGATAGTGTCGTCCCCAGTCGAGCGACAGGCACCTGGGCGTGGTGTGCTCGCTGCTGGGCATCTCGCGCGTGGAGCTGAGCCGCTGGCTGACGCACCGGCGCATCGCGTCGGCGCACGAGGTGATCGTGGCGCGCCTGGACGTGCAGCGCGCCGTGTTCGCGCGCGACGCGCTGGCCAAGCACCTGTACGGCGAGCTCTTCGCCTGGCTCGTGCGCGCCGTCAACCGCGCGCTCCACACCACGCACGACAACAAGCACTTCATCGGTACGTCTGTATACTGACATAACTTAGGACCCCTCCTAGCCCTTGCTACACGATGTCACACTTTGTTGACCTACCCCCCCCCTCTTTGATGTGTGACATAATTTATGGATTGTCCCTAAGCCGAGGCGTTAAATTTGCTGTTTTTAACTTTATTCTCACTTACATAATAATAGGGAGCAAATAAAACAGAAAACAGTATATTGACATTAAGTCATTTACGGTCATGAAAGGCGTCTCCCTTTTTTTTTTTTTTTTTTTTTCTCGAACCGACTAAAACCGCACGCCGTCTCGGGTACTAATAGCCGGGGAACCAGGTATACCCTAGAAAGGAAGTCGAAAGGCGTCCCCCTAGGTTCAGTATTGGGACCAATATTTTTTTGTTAAATACGTAAACGTCACTTTCAGAATTAAATGCAAAAATTGGGAGTTTTATTTAAAAGGTAAAGTTAGTAAGATGAGAAGACAATGTAAGGCAAAGGATATTGTTTATAAAGATGGACTGGAGTCTGTAAGCGATAGGCTTGACTAAGTCAGACCGTATCCGTAACTGTAACTTGAACTAATTATTACTGGGAAGTCTGAGCCTCTGTAGATAGGTAGTATTATGGTAGATCCCTGGCAAAGCATTAAATTTACGCAATATCTATTACATAATACTGTGAAGCTCTTCTATTCATAATTGTATTTAAACTATTATAATTAGTGTACATATTTTTTTTTTTTAAATCATTACCCCGAGATTACGTCGCGGGAGACTTTACGAACTTTACATGACTTGACATCAAAACATAAAGACACCAAAAACTTAGGGATTGAACCCACAACACTCAATTTCAGTAGGAAGCGGCGAAGTGACCGCTCAAATCACCACAACCAAATAAAATTGTCTTTTAAAAAAATAAAAGAAATAAATAAGGTGTTTATTTATTTGTTTTTTTTTTTAGGCGTGTTGGATATCTATGGTTTTGAGACATTCGAAATAAATTCCTTCGAGCAGTTCTGCATTAACTATGCGAATGAAAAATTACAGCAACAGTTTAACTCACACGTGTTCAAGTTAGAACAGGATGAATATATTAAGGTCAGTTCTTTTTGTAATTTTTTTTGTACAATGGACGGCTGAATTTGCAATGAATTCTGTTCGAGGATATAAAAACTTTTTTCTGGTTTTTTTTTTTTAAACCACCAAGTATATTCTTATAATTACTTATGTGTACTAATTGTGTATCATATTGAGATTAATTATTGGGTGATATTTAATAATGTACCTTAAACTATTATAATTTAAGCCATTTTTGTACTAAAAATATTTTCATGATTGAACAGGAAGAAATATCGTGGAAGATGATAGACTTCTACGACAACCAGCCCTGTATAGACTTGATAGAGGACCGGCTCGGCGTCCTGGCTCTGCTGGACGAACAGTGTCGGGTGCCGGGCGGGAGTGACGCGGGTTTCGTCTCCAAACTGCACCAGACATGCCATACTTACCCACATTTCATGAAGCCTAGGTTCGGGAATGCTGGTAAGAAGTTTGCCTAACTATTTTAAGACTAGAAAAGTTACATGATCATAACAGATTTTGAACATTAGGTTTATAGAAAAAACAGATATGACGTTAGTATTAAAGAAGTTAATTTTTCAATTTCAGAGTTTCTGAATTTATATATTCATATATAGTTAAATGTACTTATATAACTTTTGATGTGTAACATCTTTCCTCCCATCTGTGGGGGTAATTTAGTGAAAGGGACGGAAGTGCGTAACAGGAAACCAAGAAAGCGCGCTACTAAAAAAAAAGTCAGCCGTTACACATCATAGGTGACTATTGCAAGACTTACGCGTTCTTTTTTATACAGTCTGACAACTTGACAAACTTCATTTTTATGTGGCTACCTAATATTAGTGTTACATATTTCCGTCCCGTTTTACGAAATGAATACCACAGATTGTAGTAAAGCGAGAAAAAATATATTAAAAAACTTTAGTTTGCTCTATAATAGTCTAGCAACATTTAATTTAATTTTTTTCATCAACATACTATTCACTGTTAATAACTTAACATTGCTTTCAGCATTCATTATAAAACACTTCGCCGACAACGTAGAGTACCAATCGGGAGGCTTTCTCGAAAAAAACCGGGACACCGTGTCACAGGAACAACTGGAATGCATAAAGTCAGCGACTGAGTGTCGGCTCATCCACACAATGTTAGCGGCAGACTCTCCGATGGAACAGTCGAACACTCTGCCACCACCGTCTAAAAGGCGGACCATGCCGACTGTACCAGTTACTAGTTTAACTGTGAGTATTGACATTATTATATTTCTGTACCTTTTCAGATTTTATTTTATGGCAAACGGTTTTTCCTTTATTTATTCTCTAAAATAATTTGTGAAACCTTATAGGCCAAGGAAGCTGGAGTATGAGATAGCATGTCATGGAAGGGAAACGAGACTTGGCCAAGTGTGATTACTACTTTACATATCGAATACAAACTCGATTGGTGAGAGGGCGGGGCTTGATCACTGCGTCACCACTTTCTTAACGTGAACGGATCGAATGTAAACATTAGCTTGAGCAGGACAGGAACTGGTGACAGAAGCTGGTGCAGTAGAGTCCAACCCGTCTAACTAGATTCCCTGATACTTAATATTGTGAAATGAGAAATGTTAAAAGTGAGTGTAACGTCGTTGTCCCCAGCAACCAGCCCGTCGAGCGTCGGGCCACAAGCACACGGTGGGGTCTCAGTTCCGCGCGTCGCTGTCGGCGCTCATGTGCACGCTGTCGGCCACCACGCCGCACTACGTCCGCTGCATCAAGCCCAACGACACCAAGGACCCCTTCAAGTTCGACACTGTCAGGGCTGTTAATCAGCTGAGGTAATAGAATAAACTTTTGTCTACACCAGTTTTTTTGAAGTGAAAACTTCTTTAGGCGCGTTGAGCATTTTTAAAGAACAAACAAAAGTATGTATTTTTTGAGATGGGCAAAAAACCATTGAATTTGCGACACTGTTACTGTCACCGACACCTCTGTATATAAATAGCCTTGTTTACACGAGAGTTGAGTTTGGGTTGAAATACATTGATAATATAATTATATATAATATACATATATATTGTGTATATATGTACAACTTAGATATATATATTCATGTCATATTCATGTCGAAAAAAAAAAACAAAAAAACCTGTTATAATCAAAAAGAATTAAATTTTTACTTTTTCACTCCCGGATTGCCACTGTATTTTTTTTTACATGAGTACATCATATCAATGACAATGTACAATGGCGGCCTTATCGCTAAAAGGCAATTTCTTACAGACGCACCAATAGACAAGGACCAAATATTATTTAATTAAATAGTTTACATTTAATTTGTTTCTTTGTAATATACTTACATTGGTTACAGAGCCTGCGGTGTGCTGGAGACGATACGGATATCAGCAGCCGGTTTCCCATCGAGATGGCTATATCAAGACTTCTTTAATAGGTAGTAATACTTTTAAAAAATATTTCTTGGTAACAGCACCTTTGCAGTAATAATAATAGTATTGTAATACACAAAAGTTTTTACAAATTGTTTTTTTATATTCACTAGTTCTCAAATATAGTCGTGTGGTCCAATCACTACGGACCAGTGAGAACGGCATATAAAATATGCTAACCCCCCCCCCCCCCCCTCTATTCATCCTGTGGGTGTCGTAAGAGCCGACACAAACCCTATACCAACCCTTCGGGTCAGCGTTGTATAGTAGGCCAAAACTTTCTTTCTAAGGAGAGGCCCTATTATAGGCTGTTGATGATGATATATAATCTGTGGAAAAAGTTAAAAGTATTTTTAAGTAACTTCATAAAATAAGTTTTAATTAAATCATATAGTTTATAACTGTTGATCATTTTTACTATAATATTTAACAGTTCCTATCTCATTTTAATATTATAAAATTGTAGCAACAAGATTTTTTTATTGTATTAATGATGTAGTTCTAACTTATAAATTTTTGTCCATCAGGTATCGTCTTTTGTGTCTTAACAAGGAGATCGACCGCGCGAACATCAAGTTGACTTGCGGTCGAATATTGACGAAACATGTCAAAGATCCAGATAAATATCAGTTCGGTGCTACTAAGATATTCTTCAGAGCCGGACAGGTAATTTCATAACTATCTTTGTCTGGTGGAAACTCGCCATCGGCTAGATTTTTTAATTAGAAATGTTTTTCATCTTTTAATATATATTTTTATTAACCGGCTCGAAGGACCACACCAAAACTTGTACTCGTTTAACAACTGAATCTTAAAAAGTTATGTTTTGGATTATTAATAAAGGAGTATATGTATGTATAACGGTCGTAAATTGATAATATTTTTTGCGAAGTGTTACGTTTATTAGATACTTTTAGATTGTCAATATATCTGTGAAATTATTTGTTGGTTTTGCCCTCTTATGTTTGTGTGTTATGAGAGTTCTTTACGGGCACACATATATCTGATGAGCGACGTCCGGTGGCGCAGGTGGCGTACCTGGAGAAGGTCCGCGCGGAGCTGCAGCGCGCGTACTGCGTGCGCGTGCAGAGCTGCGTGCGGCGCTTCGTGGCGCGGCGCCGCTACCTGCGCCTCGTCGCCGCGCTGCGCGGGCTGCAGGCCGCCGCGCGCGGGCACCTCGCCAGGAGGTACCCCGACACTGGCCTTGAACTTGACTTTCTTTAAGGATTTCACTATATTTTTCTAGAAACTAACGCATTTTTTTAAGAAAAACAATCTTTTAACTTTGTACTGTTCTGATCGGCTAACAAACATACTCACTCTTGATCTATGAATTTAGAACGACGCGCTTTTAACTGATGATTTACAAGCGCCGATAGTCACTTTCCATCAGGTGACCCACCCGCTCGTTGCTTTATGATATAACGGTTAATTTATTTACGCTCAAACAATAATTAAAAATAATTTACACAATAAATATTCAAATAGTGATAAACGAGTGCAGAAACTGATTTCTAAAAAATTAAAAAATATGTGTTGTCTTAAAAAACTGCATAAATATTTAGTTCATGTTAGTCCAGACGCCTTATCGCTTCTTCCAATAGATATTAAAACAATATTGTATTCGACAGCTTAAGTAATAACAAATATAAAAGTTACGTTAACTTGTTAAAACTTATCATAAACATGAATGAAACTGCCAGTAAACGGCTTGTATATAATTATGATATCTATACGTCTTAGTTAACATATACAAAAACGCAATATAATCGCCTCTCTCAGCATTTATTAAATATTTCTTTTTAATGTATCATTTATTTCCGTCTCTGCTACTCACAGGAAGGCACAAGAAATTCGTCGCAGACGCGCAGCTATCAAAATCCAACGCAACGTCCGCGGGTGGCTCTGCAGAGTCAAATACCAGAGGCTCAGGCGACTGGCTATCGGCTTGCAAGCTCACGCTAGAGGGTTCATGGCCAGAAGACTGTATAAAGACAAGAGGAAGGTCAAAGCGGTGAGTACATACAATAGAGAAAGTGGCTCCAAATGAGAAAAAATTGAAACGGGGTCAAGATATCTGATCTAATTATTTAGAATAGGGCACTCGGCAGGTTTTAAAGTATACAGTTTTAGTTTTAGTTTTAAAAAAGACAACTCCTGCATTAGGAATATAAAACCGGTGTCTCGGGGGACTTTACAAACGTACATGAAACGGACACAAAGGACACCCAGACTCAGAACAACAATTTGTGGATCACACAAAGTGGTGTCCGATATAGGCATGTCGACCGCTTAAACCACTACGTTATCCGTTCAGTTTAGCTCAGCAATATGAACACCACATAACACACCACGTAATACATACGCGAATACATTTAGAATTCAGGCAGGCCTGTTAGTCTAATGGTGTCCCCTGCGACATAGGATTTATTCGTAGTGTTGCCGTTGTCTTAAAAACACAAAAAATCATAAAAAAATTGCTTCTTATTCTAAATTGTCTTTAATACTTGCACGTATGGCGTAGTGGTTTAAGCGGTCGCCACGCCACTTACTACTACGTTGAGTGCTGTGGGTTCGATCCCCACATGGGACGACACTTTGTGTGATCCACAAATTGTTGTTCAGAGTCTGGGTGTTCTTTGTGTACGTTTCATGTATGTTTGTAAAGTCCCGCGACACAGGATATATTCCTAATGCGGGAGTTGTCTTTTTAATAAAAAAAAAACTGCATGCAGTTTTTATACCAAATTATGATAACTTAATCAAATTTTGAGTTAGACTAGTAGGTCTCGCCTCTTATTCATCAGACATCCTTAAAATATAGTTTGTATTGTTTCCAGGTCATCACAGTACAACGTTACGCTCGCGGCTACCTGGCGCGTCAACGGGTGAAGAAGATGAAACGACAGATCATCATAGGACAATCTGTTGTAAGTATCTGGACCAGTTATATCTAGGGACATAGTACACATTGCTATCGTCCAACTATTCACAATCAATGCGACAGACAGTCCACTTTTACAGAAGATGTCTCAAAGAAGAAGAAACGGCCTCATAATCCAGGAATGCTAGGGAGTGACCTGACAATGAGCTATCATACCTGATACAAAATCCCTCCTAAAAGCCTATGAACGCCCCAGGCGAATCCTGCGCTCCTGGAGGGAGCTGGGTTGGCTCACCTAGCTACAGGACTGTTCCTGAGTCTCAATTATGACACCGGGGCCCTCCACCAATACCAATACACATTGCTATCTAGACCCGAACTACGGATTCTAGAATACGGATAATTATTAGTTTGTTGCTTATAATGTCTATTTTAGCCGACTTCAAAAGGAGGAGATTATCAATTTGATTGACTACACATATTATTTTTAGTGTATGTTAAGCGATATTCACACAGCATCATTAGTATTTAATATTTTTGTAAACCGTGTGAATGGAAGTCATCATCATCATCATCAACAGCCTTTAATAGTCCACTGCTGGACATAGGCCTCTCTTTAGAAAGGAGGCTTTGGCCCACTATACCACGCTGGACAGACGGGTTGCTATAGGGTTTGTTTCAAATTTTCCTACTCTTTGCAGTGTTGTTGTTCTTCGTAGTTTGGACCCTTAGTCGGCTCTTACGACACCCACGGGATGAATAGGGGTGGCGACACCTCGTATTCTTTATCCGTCACCACACGGATAGAAGTAATGAAGAATAAAGATTATTAAAATTAATTACGATGTAGTAATAATAAAGTCGATACTTTCCAAAGAGAAAGTTAATACTTAATTTCCCATCACAAATCGTTGGGTTGCGGATAGCCAGGCGTGATCACCTCGCCTAGTCGGAGGATCCTCACTTTGTATTGGAGGGACATGAGACCCGTTCCTCAATAACGCAATGCGTAACTGCGAAAGGTTTGCTCCCTGATGTCTAGCTTGATGATGATTAATTAATTTGTTCTAGCCCATTGTAACGAGCTGTGTTTTCATTACAGATTCGTCGGTTTCTCGCTCGCCGTCAGTACAAACGTTTACGGATTGAAGCTCGAAGTCTGGACCATGTGAAGACACTGAACAGGGGGCTGGAGAACAAGATCATAAGTTTGCAACAGAAGTTAGGAGACGCCATGGAGAAGGCTAAAGGAATTGAACCGCTGTTGATACAGATTGCTGATCTCAAGTAAGTTCGTTTAACTTTAGATGAATAATAATTAAACTGACGGACTTTGACTGCACGGATGGCGTAGTGGTCACCTCGCCGCTTCCTACTGCGCTGAGTGTTGTGGGTCCGATCCCCACATGGGACAACACTTTAGAAGAAGAAGAAGATTATGTTTTAGAAGTTGAGGAACGAAAAGAAGTTATTACGGGAGAGTACATGCACATTACATAAATAAATATTACATTCATTCAAGCGATATCGCAGTAGCAACTGTTAAATAATAATAATAAAGCCTTTTTATTTCCATGCACATTACATTGGATTTTAAACTAACACAATACTACAAAATATATAAAAGAAAGGTGTGTTTAGGGCATGGCTCCTCTACGGATATAGGCCTCCTCCAACTGTTTCCATAGTTTTCGATTTGCCGCCTTCGTCATCCAGTCTTCACCGGCTATGTTTTTAATTTCATCGAGCGAGATCTTTAGGTCTTCCTCTGTTCCTTTTGCATCCCTTTTGGGTCCCTTCCATTTGGTGACTCGTTTAGTCCATCTCATGTCTGTACTGCGGGCGATGTGACCAGCCCATCTCCATTTTAGCTGTTGTGCGTAACGTTCTGCGTCTATTAATTTTGTTTTCTTGCAGTAGTAGCAACTGTTAGTAAAGAATAATAAAACGTAGATGGAAACTAAACGATTTACCTTCTTTTACAGAGCAAAATTGGAAGTATTGAAACTGGTAGAAATGGAAGTAAAAGTCCTTCGTGCAGACAAAACAGACAAAGACAACATCATTGCTAGCTTACAGGAAGATCTCGCGAATGAAAAGGATAGCAACAAGCGCTTGTATGACGAAAAGAAGGCGATAGAAGAACAGTTTGGTAAAGATAAGAAGTTGATGGAAGAAGAGAGTGAGAAATTGGCTAACGAATTGAGAAGTACCAAGGAGCATTATGATTTAGCTCTAGAAGGTAAGTTGTATACCGTATTTAATTTATAGTGGACAATTTGGTCAAAGTAATTTATCCTTAATATAAATTAATATTTAACTTCATACTTGCTTAATTTGTAATGTTTCTTTTAGTTAATCATTTTTAGTTTTATAAAACAACTAGATTTAAACAAACTCACTTTCAAACTGACATAAGTATGGATTTAGTAATGGTTTTATTTTTAAATTGTAAGTACTCTGCTTGTAACAGTCTCTTTGTTAAGTATGAATACCCAATTCCAGGCAGGAAATACGGCAGGCAGGATTCTTAGACTCTTGCAGTATCTCTCTTACCCTAGTTCTCGCGCCCTATCTGTATCCAATACCCCAATGCATGAATTACCTGAGTAAGAATACGGAGTGTCATCACCCCTATCCATCCCGTGGGTATCGTAAGAGTCGACTAAAGGAGACAAGACAACAGCACTGCGAAGAGAAGGAAACTGAAGAAGGAAATCCACTTAAGCTTTTTACGGTAGTGGAAAACATGATCATATTTGCGAAGTCCAAATATGAATCTTATGCAAAAAATTTAGAGACACTCAAGTTTATCAAGATGTGCTTCAGTGAAATTGATCTCACCGAAGCACATCTTGATAAACTTCAACTGCCGACGTCAGCTATCTCGAGATGGCTGACGTCGGCATAGTCAAGAATCGTCAGAAAGAGGGTTTGTGCAAGTGCAGTTTTATTAGAAGTTGGAAGAAAGAATCGGGAGCTTCGCAAAAATCCTGCTGCAGCAAACACTATGCGGCTCACCTCCTGAATCTAAGGTCCCGATGATAAGGTGCTATCGATTATAACTCCCAAGTTTTTGATATGGTGGTATTGTTAAATTGAACCGGAGGAAAATGTGACCAATTAATTTTAGCAGACATTATGGGACTCCCAATGACGCATACCTGTGAATTTGGGGGATTAATGTTGTGTCCATAGTCGTTACTCCAAGCACTTATGTGCTCTAGATCTGAATCAGTCTGATCTGATCAGTCGATAACATACTGACAGGTGCATTATTTAAGGAATATGAAAAATATAATATTTTAGTATTACTTATTTTAGAATCATATTAATATAATGTAAAAATGGAGTAACGTTATTATTTGAATATGAAAAGGAATAGCATGGTAAACCAAATGTTCCATGTCCAAAAGCAGACCTTTTTGAAACAGTTGAAAAGTTGAGAATCTCTCCACACAACGGTCATCGAATCGGTGTGAGCGCGACGGCAATAGATATACGCGCGAGGGATAGAGACAGGATAATAACAAGTCAATGTCCGAAATAGGCAATATAGTAATATAGTAGGCCAAAACCTCCTTTCTAAGGAGAGGCCTATGTCCAGCAGTGGACTATTAAAGGCTGTTGATGATGATGATGTCCGAAATCATTTCTGCTCCGCGACCGCACTATACCTCTAAACCGAGTAAACCGCTAATTATAATTTATCAATTCACGATAACGTTAATCGACAACAGAACATTAAATCGATATCAAAATTGATATCTATCGATAAGACCTAATGTTCCCTCCTAGTATCTATTAAAAATTGTTTTTAATACAGTGCGATATTGCTTTTCTTTCTCAAGAAGTGTTTTTTTAATACATTTTGTGCTGTTATTTTGTAAACTATTTATGTTTAAAAGAATTGGTACACTTATTATATAAAAGTGAGTGAGTTATGAGGCACAACCTTCCTCCTAAAAGATCTGGGGGGAAGGACACTCAAAGGTCTGCAAAACACTCGTGTCTGTTGGAGGTAGTCACTTACCTTTAAGTAATCCGTCTGCTCATTTTCCTCATAAAACAAGGATATCAAAAGTGTATAAAGAAAGTTGTGTTTCGATACAAACACAGTACAGACCTCTTTTTTTTTATAATTTCAAAGGTTATTAAAAAGATAGCTGTTCTCACGTGTGGATTTCATAGATGGCTCAGTTTTAGTTATATCGTATGACTCATCAGCTTCAGTCGGTATTGGCGAAGGTTTTCGGCTATTTAATATTACGCTACGAAATCACGGGATTTTTTATTTAAATTTGTCGCTATGGCAGCATTGTATTCAAGGCTGTTTCCTTAAAGAATAGCACTGCTGTAAATATAAACAACATTAATTTGAAGGTCGCTGTTCTACATATTTATGTTTGTGAAAAGTTATAACAAGTGAAGTGTAAAATAGGAAAACAATAATAGTTAAATTTAATTTTACTATTTTACAATATAAAGACACCTCTGTGATTTGTTTCGGCGTTTCTTCCCAGAGTGAGTCTTAGGAAGTGCCGGCGCCTTCTAGTTGTAAAGTCCGACTTGCAAAAACATCTGAGAAGACTTATATACAGAAATAAATATCATTTATCAGTACAACACAATACAAAGAAAATATATATATGCACCTGTAACCTGGTCCAGTATAACCTGGTCGAAACATCATCAGGCATCATTCCTGTACATATATCAATTCTTAACATAAATATAATAAAAGAGATTAAGGGAGTGTATTTGTTTATTACATCCTGGCCGTTTTGGCAGTCACCTTCGTTTACGGTTACTGCTTGTCACCTAATTGTCGTAGCGTAATTTTATATAGCCATTCTCATTTATTACCTTATTCAAAACAAAACAAATGATTAAAATATGATTGATAGTACCAGAAAGTAGTGAGTTTTAAACAAACAAAAACGAAATATAGTTATATTAGTATAGATATGAAAGATTTTTGTATGAAGACAATAAGTTGCCCAAGTGTAACACAACCTAGGCTTAAAACAAACCCCTTATTAGGCATAAAACTGGTTGTGAAACTGTGAAGATGTTAGTGACAAATAGAATATCAGAAATGCCGACAGACTTTCATTCCAAGTCGAATGAAATGTCATTAGTGCATTGGTCGCAGGAGTTTGAAACTCGTGCGCAATTCTGGAAAGGTTTGTGGTCTATTTATATTGATATACCTATCATCATCTTTTTTGTAATCTGCTGTTAATGATGTCATTTTGGGTCGGTGAGATTTATAACACACTATGGCTGGTTTCTTTTATGGCCGGGCCTGCCTGACGCTTCACCTTATTGTGGAATGTAATCATTTTCAGACATACATTTCATATTTTCCTGACCCTTTCCCTATTATTTTATGGATTGGTGTAATGTGTAACATTGAGTAGGATTTAGGCTGGTTTTTTTATAGCTGGACTACCTGACGCCTAACCTTCCTAAATAATTTTCAGACACATCGCTTCCCGGCCTTTTGCCAATTCTATTTGGGGTTGGTCCTATTAGTAACATTGCTGGTTTCTCTTATGCTTGAAGTCAACGTTATTAGGAAATGTAACCCTTTCTATCTTGATAAAAAAAGGTAAAAATTGGGCAACAGGGACGGATACAAGCGAGGGAGATGGGATAAGGGATGGGGCTGAGATTGCAGTGACTCATAGAAGCCGGGTTTGCTTACACTTATTTCCGTTCTGTGATTGAAGACTAATTGACATCCTTAATTGATTTGATTTAATCATCACAGCCTATACCAGTTCAGTGCTCCTCTCTCCTCAGACAGGGGTTTCGGCCTACTTTTAATCAGGGTTATTGTTGTAAGTTTTTATTCTCTTTGCAGTGCTGTTGTCTTGCGTAGTGAGCTCCCTCGGTCGGCCCTTACGATATTGCATATTACGTTGAAAACATGCATCGATTAGACTCAAAACATGTTAAGTCTTAAGAGCGTTATACCATCGTTGCAGTTAAAATCAACATGTTAGGTTATGTAGATAATATCTTCGATTCCTCAAATACCGACGAGGCAACATACTTAGGCAAAAAATAAAAGTACAAGGTACGTACAACAGACTATAAAAGGCTGTTGATGTGAGTGATGTAGGTACAGTGTACCTTATTTACAACCTATGTACCTACATGAAAATGTATGCGTCTTTTTTGCTGTCAATAGTAAATGTTTACCAAGTATCTACTGTACACGTGTAATATGACACAATATGAACTTATCTTATCTTTGAATGATTTGCAAATAGAATAAAAACTATAAACTGCAATTACTTATTTTTTATCTTTATACTTCTTCTAGCTAATTAAAATATGTGTGTATGTATTAGTACACTTATTTAGTTATGTGTTAGTTTATGATAATGATATGTTAGTGCAAGTATATATATTTACATATGTATAACGGGTACATATAATATATTTGAATATGTGTTGTCAAATTTCATTCTTCTGGGGGTCTAATTTCGAGGCTAATGATAAGTTCGGCGTTGCGACTGTTGCACGCACTGAACCATTCACCAATCGCAACGCCTAACGCGGCTTCTGTCGACAATTGAGTCCTAAAGGTCTAGAGGCCTCTTCAATCTCAGGCCGAACTTACAATTAAGTTGTAGGGCTCACACCTACCACGTAACATTTATTATAGACACACAAAACAACATTAAACTTACACAATTACACTATCATGAAAATAATTTCACACAACACTCGTATTCGTCCTAAGTGGGAATCGAACCCACGACGACCTCCACAGTCATTTATCACAGTTATCTGAACACTTAAGGTTTGGAAATAGTTATTTATTACTTCTTAACACTACTCAAGACATTCACAGCACTTATGATTTTTTACATTATAGTGTTGAGTGATGTGGGTCGCTCCAGAACGATCGTATAGTAAGTACGTTAAGTTAGTTAGTCCATGGCCGCCTTACAGCCTGCGCGTTCTCGGTTATTGTTGACATTCCATCTTATTTAATTCAGTAAATTTAAATAGTATAAAGTGTTGTGAATAGACAGTATATTCTGTGTCGCGTTGTGTATATTGTGTGTCTCTTGCTTGTACTCCTTCTTTCTTTTAAATAGTATATGGTGTTGTTGTGTGTATAAATTATAACAGTAAGTGGATATTGACTTTTATTAATATTCACCCGTAAGTACACATACTGCTCCACATTACTATAAAGTAAACCGGGCCTTTTCGAGTTACTCCAGTTTTCGAGTTACTTCGGTCTCAGATCCATTTCCCCATCCGAGACTTGATAGATCCACTGCCGAAGTTTGCTGAAGTCTGAAAAAGATTACATCTCCAAGGACGATTGCCATCGATCAAGCGACAGATACATAAAAAAGCAGTCAAAACACTTTATAATGGTTCACATTGTGCCGCCCCCAAATGGAAGTGGGTCAAGCAAAACGAAAATATCATTATTTCACGATTGTTTTTACTGCATTTTCTACTTTTCTCTGCATGACTTTATAGGTTGATTGGTAAATGATTCCATGTTGCATTAAGTCCGCCTAATAAAATAAGCCTTATGAATTGGTTTGCGAGGCTAAAGTGTTTTTAATTGTTAACAGAGCGTGACAAGGTCCACGAACAAGAGAAGAAAGCGTTGAACGCAGAATTAGAAGCAGAGAGACAGAGTCGACAGAAGCTATTGTCATCGCAGTATGAGTTACAAGAACGAATAGACTCCTTGCAAAGGTGAGTTAAATTGAAACACTGTTAGTTGTAGTTTTTTTTTTATGGTATAAGGGGGCAAACGAACTGCCGGGTCACCTGGTAAGCAACTACCGCCGCCCATTGACACTTGCAACTCAAAAGTCACAAGTGCGTTGCTGCCCTTTGAGTTCCTCCCGCTCGAGTCAGCGGGAGGGGGATTTGGGCTCCGGTAACCTCACTCAGTGAAAGGCAACGATCACTCGATATCACTCCGGTCGAGCCGGCCCATTCGTGCCTATGCATGGCTCTCCCATGGTAAGATTTTTTAGTTTAATATGTATTCATCTTTTAAATTCTTCTTCTCTGAATGTAAAATTTTATGATGATTGGCTGACCAGTTTAGACGTAGAACCGTAACAGACCGATAGACAATTACCGTCTTATTTATATTTTTTAACCTAGTATTAATATTGATGGTTGTTTCAGAGCACCAGCACCAAAGGAACACAGGAGATCGTTATCCGACGCAAGTAACAATTCACAACAGGAAACCACAGTTGAAGACGTAAGCTGCCATGTTTATTTATTATTTGTAATTTGGCGAAAATCAACCGTTTAAATAGTGATTGAAAGGGGAACCAACTATACCCAAGTAAACCCCAATAATGGCAACGATGAACGAATTGCAAAATCAAATCTAATTAACTAATAAAACGTCATATTATAAACGAAATATTCGCAATCTTCCCTTAGCACAAAGTGGTGCTTCGGAGACGTGTTTTGACACCATGCATAATAAGTGTAAAAGTGCCGTAAATATATAGGTACGTCCATTTTTTATTTTGTTGACGGGGTGGAAAATCCCTTCGGATCTTCGGCTCTTCGGGGACGCAGGAGCCAGGAGTATGTAGTGTTTCCACTATAAACCACCGCCACAGCCAGTCTCAGTCGCCCTGCCCTGGGGAGGACCCTGACCATGTTATTTCAGGTCCCCCCCAGATCGACACCGCGCTTAGCCAGGCCCTATCCCGAGGAAAGAAGGCTTCCCCCGCCTATTGGCCAATCCTTATAATATGTTGCGGCCTGATCGCGTTTGTGCGACCAGGCCGCCATCCTATCGCCTACCGCAGCAGTTAAACTGCCACCAGAGGTCCCCACTCTCTGGCAACCTAGCAGCAGATATACGTCCTAGTCGTCTTTTTATCATATCTCATCACAATTTGATAATGTGATACTGGTTTTATAGAATATAGACCTTGACTGCTAAGGCTGACTCGTGAGTTCGTTTCCCACACAGGAAAAATAATTATGTGATGAGCGCGATTGACTGCACGGATGACGTAATGGCTTAAGCGGTCGCCATGCCGCTTTCTACTGCGCCGAGTGTTGTGGGTACTATTCCTATCTGGGACACCACTTTGTGTGATCCACAAATTGTTGTTCTGAGTCTGGGTGTTCTTTGTGTCCATTTCATGTATGTTTGTAAAGTCCCCCGCGACACAGGATATATATATTGCTAATGCGGGAGTTGTCTTTTAAAAAAAAAAAAACTGTGTCTGGATGTAATTTATCTATCATTTGTATGTATTTAGAAATACATAGGTATGTTTATGAGCAGTCTGGTTACCACAGCTCAGGCAATGCCTAGTTTGGAACCAGTCTTCCATGTGTGAGATGTTTGAAGTTATAATTATGATTTTGCTAAATCTATTGCTATCATAAAAGAAAGGTACTCTAATAAAAATTTGGTAGGTACTTGGTATCCATATAACTATAATAGTTATGTGGATACCAAGTACCAAGCCATGTATAATATGCTGACGTGGGGGAGTCATGCTTCGGCATAAATCTGACTCGACCAGAGCAATACCACTGCCTCGCAGAAAACCACTATAAAGCAATTCCTTTATTGATCTTCTCCGAGTGAGTGACGTTACCGGAGCCCAAACCCTCAATTTGACTCTAGGGAGAGGGACTCACAGGACGGCAAGGCACTTGTTACTATTGAGTTGCAGGTGTCAATGGGCGGTGGTTGTTACTTACCCGTCTGCTGATTGCTTCCCTATACCAAAAAAAAATCAGTATCAGATTCATGATTTGGGTAGAGTGACGTGAGTTCAGCAAGGAGTAAAGCTTAATTCTGTTATTTTATGTTAGCGTACAAGCCACTATCATTCTATTGACACGGTATTGAGATGTCACTGACATCGGTCAAAATATCGGTATTCTTCTAACATAAATGCACAGTGTCAATTGACTGTCGATATAGTGACTATGACTCATCAATTGTGAATACAGATATCTGAAAAATTAAATATTTTATTTCATCAATAAACTATTACAAAGACGACGACGACATTTGCATCAGTGGCAGTTCAGTGACAAGTCATCGGGAGGCCATTGGCCTTACTTAGTTAGTAGAATACCAAAACTGCATCGACGATCTATTGATCAATTGATCATCATCATTATCATCAACAGCCTTTTCTCCCTTAGTCGGCTCTTACGACACCCACGGCATGAATGGTGACACTTCGTATTCTTAATCCGTCACCACATGATACAATATTAAAATAGCGGAAGTAAGGCTCTGTCTTATCGGTGTCACATTTCATGCCTGACACAAATCTGACAGGACGCCAAAATACAAGTGAGAAAAATTTCTCTTTTTACAATTTTTATAAAGATACTTTTTATTGCAGGACTATGGTTACGGGTCTGTCAGATCAGTGGAAAGCACACGTCCAGCGTTGGAGGCCGTCAATTGGTCTGCAGGCTCACATAACGGCCCCAACGTGCCGGTAAATATTAAATGTTTTTTTTTATTTGAATGAAAGAAGATGTGTCCCGGCAGGACACATCTTGGTCTCCAGAAAAGTCAAGCTTCCCTATGTTTCAGTGATTGTATGTTCTATGTTTCTCGTGACGCTCGCATATTGTGGGTACTTACAGAAAAAGATAAGATAAGAAATCTTTCAATTGAATTCCAAAAATATTAACAAACATAGTAACATATAATATGCAATGTGAGAATCCTTACAGTGAGTGAGGTAAGCTTGAAAACATTAAAATCGCGATACAGGATCAGCTAGTACAGTTTACTGTACGAACTGTTTTCAATAGATGGCGTCAGTTGAATCAATAAAAAAACCGTTTTGTTTTATGGATTTTGATCGTTATAATACTTTATCGTTGAGATATTATAAAAAATAATTAAGCAGTGTATAATATAATGTTGAAAACATTTTATTATACACTGTTTTTTTTTCGTTTTTTTATATTTGGATAAGTAGTCTATTAGTTATGACTTGACCTTAAATTTATTTCTTACTTTATTTAATTAATAACTGTAACTTTTGGTCCAGGTCGCGGATGCTGGACTAGTGCTGCGCATGCGCAACAGAATATCTGCGCTGCAGAGTGAGTTATCCAGAACCACGAAGAGAGCAAACGACCTGGAGGAGCGGCTTATGAGTATGTCAAATACTTACATTTTGTTTATATCTATAACTTTCGCCGACGGCTTCACTCGCCTAAAAGTTACTTTTCTATCCCTCGGCAAGAGATTTTTATTTTTGAATTAAAAATTCTTTATTGTTCGGTTGATTAGTTTTCTATATATAAAATAACACTATCAATTAGGAACTAATATAACAATGAAACATAAAACGCTTTTCTAAAAAGTGACCATTATAAAAAAAACCTATCATTCATTTAGCTGAAATATCGTAAAAGTACTCATTAATTTTGTTGTAAATGAAAACATTGCCATAAAGTACCTCAAACTAATACCCGGTATCCAGTCAGATACAGCGCATACCGGATATATCTCTAACCGAATAGTGACCGGTTATGTCTCATACTGAGTAGTGGCCGGGTATATCGCATACCGGATAGTAATCGGCTATATCGAATACCGGCCAGATATGTCGCATACCGAATAGTAGCCGGATATGTGGTATACCGGATAATGGCCGGATATCCGTCATCACTAATCTTCCAATGCGGTTTCCGGTACTTTGAAGGAGTCTTAGTACTTAGTGATATGTGATGTGATATATTTCTTTTTAGATCGCAACGCCTCACCGCCAACGAATCCCAACATCGATCGCTACAAGCTGGAGGAGCTGGAGATTGAGAACAAGAAGTTAAGAGAACACTTGGAGAGGTTGAGGGCGGCTGGAGACTCCGTTCTTATTTCCAAGGAAGTTATAGGTAGAGTTTTTTTTCACTACCAACATGCGCGGGTTCGATTCTAGCTCAGTACAAATATTTCTGTGTTTGTATTTGTTTTGGGGTCTGGTTGATTGATGATTTGTGTAATGTATTGACAAAAAATGCATCTAAATATGTAAATCCAAGCTCTAAAACCCATAGTTACTGGTTTGAGACTAGGTATTGCCAGAATATTATTAATATTATACTAGTATTGCTGATTTACTATTCCTCTCTGTGGAGTATCTCAATCAGGCGGATCTAATTCAAGCAGATATCTGTCTGCCTGTTTAGTCAATAATCGATAGTATTAATTAAAAAAAGTTTGTAATCCAATTATCTAGAAGAATTAAAGACCGTTTTTCTATTTTGTCATTTATTTCAGAACAAATGAACGTGATGCAGAAGGAGTTGGACAGAAGAAGAGACGAATGCATACAACTCAAGAGCGTGCTGACTAACCAGGTAAGATTAAAACATAGATACACACATTTATGTCACGCCCTTATTCCTAAAGGGGTAGGCAGAGGACTAGTAATTATGTTCGTTACGTAATAGGAGGCGAACCTTTACCGTCAAGTGAGTACTCTTAAGAATTAGATTAGAAAAGCGGGAGTTTAATATTAAAGGAAAAGTTTTGGCTCGTGGCTAAGTGGTAACCGAGTAGGTTAACACATTGCAAAGTTAAGCAACCTTAGGCGGGTCAGTTTATGGATGGGTGATCATTTCTTAATACATTGAGACCCCTCCGTGTCTCGAAGAGCACGTTAAGTCATTGGTCTCGGTTGCAATACGAACATCTGTGGTAAACGTAACGGGTAATGGTACAACAGTCTTTCTACAGAACTTTGAAATCACTTAGTACTTGGGTTTTGGAGGTCTGATGGCAGTCGCTCCACGAATCCAACCTAGTTTGGGCAAAAGGCTCGGAGGAAATATGAAAGGGAAAGCTGGTTAGATAATAATAATATTTTCACATCTCACACACGGCCATCCGATCCCAAACTAGGCAGAGCCTTCGCTATGGTAACCAGACTGCTGATAAGCATTAAAGTCAATGTTAAATATATACCGATTCCAATTGGTTTCATCAACTCCATTTTTGACGGGATTTACAGCATTATAAACTTTCAAATTAACAATTTTAATAAAGCACATTGTGGTGCATTTTGTTAAGAATACTCATTCCATTTAATACCCAAATATCAACGATGAAACTCTATTTCCCTCATTTTTATTATGTTTTTGTTTTACGCATTCATATACGAAATTATACGAAGGTCATTCCATTAAATTCCATTTAGAATCGAAATGAAAACCTCTGGCAACCCCACTATTAACTAATTTTATCTCTTTATAATATTAGTATAAATAAACCGTTACTCAAATCAAAGCTACCACGTGTAACACTATATCTTTAAAGACATGTGAAATTGTAACAACAAACGAATTTATCTTAAAAAACTAGAGATAGACTTATCATTGATAAGAGTTACGTTGATAAAAGTGTCACATATTTCATCGTGACGTTGTAAGAACTATGTTTATTTAAAACTGTCTGCGTGTGTGTATGTATTAGTCAAGATTTTTTATGACATTAAGGGCAAACAAGCACACGGGTCACGGTAAGTGACTACCACCAACCACGGACACCTACAACTCAAGAGTCATAAGTGCGTTGACGCCTTTTAAATCCCTCCCACCAAGAGATTATAAGGATACCGAAGAACTCTTAGAAACTATAATCTGACAGGTTACTGAATTACACACACACACACACACACACACACACACACACACACACACACACACACACACACACACACACACACACACACACACTCACTCACTCACTCACTCACTCAGAAACTCATACACACGCGCACACTCATACGCATAAGACAATTCCTAGGCATAAGACAAGGCTCTGCCTAGTGTGGTTGTCACAGTAAATGTAACATGTTATGTGATATATTTGAAAATATATCATTATTAAGAAGTGGGGAAAGGATGGTTTTGGGCTTCGGTGACGGTAACTCACTCGTCGTAAAGCAACGAAAGAATTGCTAACACCGGTTTTCTGTGACGCCGTGGTATCACTCCGGCCGAGGAGGCCAATTTGTGCTGAAGCATAGCTTTCCCCAGGTTAAAACTACTGTGGGCACTATAGTAATTTTGCTAATGCTCGGATACAGTGTATCTGTTCGTATTTAATTAACATTTCCTGCATCTTAGGATAAGGAAATTGATTTCGTTTTAAATTAATGAAAACATAATTAACAATACTTTTAATCGTTGCATATGATATGTAATATCTGACATCTCATTTACCAGTTAACAGACAATTCTAGCACGGCGAGCGCTTATTGGTCACATCAAATAGCGAGTGGTCATTGGTCAAATCAGCGCGTTTTAATTAAGGGTTACTTCAATACCATCTGATGAATACACTATATCGCGCCACAAAAGTTCTGGCGGCTATTAGTATAGTTACTTCATCAAAGCATCAAATGTTCGGTCGTGATCACCTCGCCTTTTCGGTAGATCCTGCTTTTGTGTTGGACGAAGGACACAATACCCTTTCTCCTACATGGTTTACTTTGGGAATGTTGGATTAGGTGCAGACCGGACTCTGGTCCCTATACTATAATAACAGACAGAACCGTAGTATGTAACAAGTCTCATATCAATACAAATATGTAACGTTTCAAATATTTTCAGAGACATCTTTTCACATTGTTGTTTTGTCGGAAATACAGATAAGTTGTTCACCGGTAGTGTTTTCTTGTATGAATTCATTTCAGTGTAATGTTTCTTAGTTAACAAAAGATATTATTTGTGTTATTTAGAACTGCAGTGATTTCGTTAGAGTCACGTTTGTAATAATTATGTTATGTTGAAGTAATATGACAGTTTTATGTATATTGGTAAATGATAATATTCGTAAATCAAGCACCAATTATCGTTAAGTAACCGGGCAATAGATGAGTGAACGAATCGTCATAATATATCATATGATAGTAATTAAATGATGTTTAGTGTTTTGCCTACATATTAATGAATTAACTGAAATTACAGTGACATGACTACGTACAGTGATGATTTACCAGTGATTTGAATTATTAATGATTGCACTATATATAATTAACTGTATTCCAGTGATTTAATAAATATTATGATAATACAAAATGACGTTACCTTTAACTGGAATAAGGATATCCAAAGCTATGTATATGGACACACCTATGCACAGAAGTAATTTTTATTATTGTCAGAATGAGGTATGTGTTGGGGAACAGACTTAAACTTTACAAGATTTCAGCCAAGAATAGCTCTGAATTCTTGACCAGTGCTTTTCTTCTCTATTTCCTTTCGTTATACTGAGGCGGGTTCTGTGATAGGTTTATATAGAGCTGTCGAAAACAGCATATTTTACATTAGTTTTTTAGCAGTTAGATTTCACTTCTGTCCCGTATTGGTGTTCTAAATCCGTTGAGTTGGGTGCTTTTTTTATGGACACCTGCAACTCAAAAGTCACAAGTGCGTTGCCGCCCTTGGAGACCCTCCCGCTCGAGTCAGCGGGAGGGGGGATTTAGGCTCTGGTAACCTCACTTACTCAGTGAAAGGCAACAAGAGAATTGCTTAACAGCTAACGCGCTTACTGTATTCGATATGTATACTGAACGTTACAATATATCTACACTATTAGAATGTCGGCCAATATTTGTCGCTGTAAAACCAGTAATTCTAGGCATGACGTTAAGCATTGTATTTCATATTTGCGTACATAGTAAACGGGAGGCAGTGACTGATCCTGGCACACGACTCTCTTCGCCATTCATCAACTTTTAACGAATACTCGTAGACATTTACTGACCAGGTTTGTAGTGTACCGGAGAATCAGTACCCTACGGATCGGGTCAGTGAATGTCTCTCGGGGTCTGCCTGCAACAGCATATTTGTGGGGCCTTTTTTCAACAACCAGAAAATTCTGAAGTTCAGTGTTATTATTTTTCATTATTGAACCGCTTACTTGAAATGTTAAGGTGATATGTTGTTGGTTGGCAAGTAAACGAATAATAATAATTAAGGATTTAGCAACGTAGTGGATGGCGTAGTGGTTTGTGTAAAGGACTTCTAAGCCAAAGGTCGCGGGTTCGATTCCCGCTCAAGTCAAACACTTGTGTTCATGAGCATTTTAATGTTTGATTTCTGGGTGTTTCTATGTATAATATGAATGTATTTACAAAAAAAGTATATATGTATTTGTATCAGTTGTCTAGTACCCATAGTACAAGCTCAGCTTAGTTCGAGACTAGATTGCTTTGTGTGAATGTGGTATAATATTATTATTAATTAACGAAGTAAATTTTCTATCTAATTAGTTTTATGAAGTATTATGTATATATAAGTTTATTTATTCCTTGAATATAACTGTATTTGCGTAACATGTGTATCTATGAATATTAAAATGTATGTATTTTGTTCTTGCTTACATAAGAAACCATGGTTCCAAGCCCTGAAGAATGTTGTAAGTAATTATTACACACCATTGTTTTTATTAGTTTACTCATGGATAGACTTGCCTATAGACTGTGTCGCGGGGGACTTTACAAACATACATGAAACGGACATAAAGAACACCCAGACTCAGAACAACAATTTGTGGATCACACAAAGTATCGTCCCATGTGGGGTTTGAACCCACAACACTCTATGATTAACCATTATCAAAGAGTCAAGATTTTTTAGATCCATTTTTAAGCTAAATTAACTATTTGCTTGATACACACAATAATCCTTCAATAACAATACTTTTCTGCAACATCTTAAATATGATAGATGCTATACCATACACAATACTATGTGTTATATCCTGTATTTGTCTATGTATAGAATTTACATAAATATTGCGTATTCTACCTAAAAACAAATTCGTTAAACCTGATTAACGTTATAAAGGTTTTCAGCAGTTATGATTAGAATTAATTGAATAACAAAAACACGCTTTAATAACAATCCCAAGTCAACATTAGAAATGTTTTAGTAAAACAGTTTATACTCCAGAGAATCTCTGGATTATTTAAAAAAAAATACCAATTTAGTAAAGTTAGCTCACTCAAGTTAGCTTTGTGTTATTTAATTTTCGATTCTATTTCCAACAGACGGTGAACTTAAAATCGCTTGCCTCATCAAACTACGGGTCGGATGTGGATATTATAAATGAAGATGGCGAGTTAGCGACTGCTTATGAAGCGCAGAAGGGTATTAATAGGTATGTCTGTTTTGACTACTAATTTACATTTACCGTGTGGTGACGGATTAAGAATACAGAGTCACCACCCCTATTCATCCCGTGGGTGTCGTAAGAGTCGACTAAGGGAGCAAACGACGCAGGACAACAGCACTGCAGAGAGAAGGAAAACTTGAAACAAACCCTATATCAACCCGTCTGGCCAGCGTGGTATAGTAGGCCAAAACCTCCTTTATAAGGAAAGGCCTATGTCCAACAATGGACTACTAAAGGCTGTTGATGATGATGATGATATGGGTATGTTTACATTTGTTTAGTGTTCCATAGAACCAATCCCATTGGGGAATCCTTATAATTTCGCCTTTATAGTTTTCCTTCGTCTGTCAATCCGTCAATCCGTCCGTGGCTTAGCATAGAAACCGTTAGTACTAGAGTAAACTGCAATTTAGCACGTGGATGTATTTATAAATTAATCACCCTATAGTCAACCTACGAAACAATACATTGGTGCTAATTCTGTTGTTCGAAAACTCTCTAAACTAATCTAAAAATCACTAAAAATTAGTTTAGTCCTGTTAAGTACTACGTTTAAAGGATAAGAAACGTTTCTTGACGAGACTAAACTATTTTTTTGTGATTTTTAGTTTAGTTTAGTAGTTTTATTGTGTCCCGTCACGCACTTGGCCAGTTCTATTTTTGTAATGTGTAATAACATCCTAATGTTTAGATTCTATTTACTTCTACAGACAATTGCAAGAAGAATTGATAGCTGAAAAGAAATTCTACTCAGAGCATATATCTAAGGCAAAGTCTGAAATTGAAAAATTGAGAGAAGAGAATGAGAAATTCCAGAAGTAAGTATTGTTTTTAATTATTGCATGTTTATAATATAATAACAAAGTATATAATTTTGATAAGAAAAGGCTATTTGGGTTCGATTCCCAGGTCAGGTAAACTTATACTAGTAAATTAGTAATTTTTGTGTATATTTGTAAATATATTCGTTTAATCGTGAATTTAGTTTAAAATACCATTTTACATGATTGCTCACAAATGATTTTACCATCATGCATGCTGACCTATCATTATTTTACCATCATGCATGCTGACCTATCATTATTTCACCAACATGCATGCCATTACCATAATTGAGAAATATCGCATATGTAATCGTATTTCAATCAAACATATTTCACATATTGATTTGAACTTTAATAAGATAGATCTTAGGCGCATAATATTTTAAAAGCAGTTCCAAGATCTATGAATTTTAGTTGCAAAATGGTCACACTATTATTTAATATTTAACTTCCAGTGACGAAGAACAGACAGACATACAAGTGGTCATTAGAAGATTTTGTTTCCATAATACAAAGGAATATATAAAAAATATACTATTTTCTGGCGAAATTTTTGTACAATTGACACTCACAATATTGAATGTATTCTAAATTATTTTAATTTGTTTGAATATTTAAAATGTATAAAAAATGTATTATTTTAAAATATTATCATTGAAATTAGATTTTGTTTTAAGATACATTTTAACAGTCGCAAAGATAACAAAAAAATATTTTGCGAAAATAAATAATTAAATAGAAGAGTATATCCATCAAGACAATTAAATTAGTCATATGTGTAACCACTATATAACATCACCACTTTGTAAATACCACGTATCCACCATCATCGTAACCATCAACCACCCAGGTAATCCACTAACATTGTAAAACTAACTATCATTATTACCAGATTTTTTGTGAGAGATACAATACGATCATTGTTTAAGTAATTCATCATTAAATCAGTTTATCCACAGCTCTTGTCAAAACCACCATGTCAGCATGATTGAAATCACCAGGTAATCCATCGCCATTGCTTAATCTGTGTTATATTTATATGTCATTCACCACGCAATGTGGGATAAAAGGATTATTGCATGCTCAAAGCTTCTTGAGATCAATCACTGTACTAACATAGATCCTGATAATGTCACATGTAATCGTTTCTGTAACCATCTAATTACTATTGTCACCAAATTGTAACCACTATTGTCTTTAACATTTGCAGAACATTGTCGTAACGATCTTTTTCCAACTTCAACCTAACCATAACAATTATTCTTACCACTATTATTATCGCAATTGTAACTCTGGTATATTGTGAATGTACCTAATAGCTTTAAAACTGTGAGCAACTGTAAAAAATATCACAACGACTTTCTTACACTTAGTAAGCTACATTAACCACAACCACAGCCCTAAGAAAGCCCTAAAAAGAATCGTAATATTGCCTCTGAGCTACTAAATATTACCTCTGAGCTACTAAATATTACCTCTGAGCTACTAAATATTACCTGTATAACCACCATGGAACCAATAAAAAAAGCAAATTTAACCACTATTGTAATCACTTTGTAACTTTAATGTAACGAAAATACGTGTTATTTCAAGATATTTTTTGAAAATCACCGACATTCTACAAAGTCCATTAAAACTACATTGTAACCATGAAAGTGTAACCACTATGTTAGCCACTGTACGACCATGAAGCCACAGTGTAACGTCTAATCAAACAAGACATGTCTTATCAAGAAATTAAGTGAAAAGCACAGCCATTCTGTAAAGTATTAAAACCACATTGGAACCATGAAAATGTAACCACTATGTTAGCCACTGTACGACCATGAAGCCACAGTGTAACCACTGATCAAACAAGACATGTTTATTCAAGATATTAATTGAAAAGCATAGCCATTCTGTAAAGTATTAAAACCACATTGTAACCATGAAAGTGTAACCACTATGTTAGCCACTATTCGACCATGAAGCCACAGTGTAACCACTAATCAATCTAGACATGTTATTTCAAGATAATTTTGAAAAGCACACACATTCTACAGTCCATTAAAACCACATTGTAACCATGAAATGTAACCACTATGTTAGCCACTATTCAACCATAAAGCCACCATGTAACCATTGATCAAGCCTCAATTTGACCACAACATTGTAATCAAAATGCAACATTGTAACTACGATGAAACCACAGCGAAAACATGAGTCAAGCTTTGGAACACAACTTTTCAAGATGCAGAGATACCTCCTTCAAACTAAAAAAAAACACCATTCAACCATCATTAAAAGCCACAATATAACCACCATTGAAGCCAATGTAACCACCTATTTAAGCCATAATGCCACCATTATCGCATGCCTAAATTAATAGTACTTAGCCTTTCAAACACCATTGTAACCAATATAGAAGCCACCAATAGTGTACCCACCATTATAATCCCCTTTAAAACAACATTGTAAGCTTTATTTATCTCAAAGTATGACCACTATCGTAGCCACAGTGCAATCACCATTTTCAGTCAAAGTGTAATCACCATTTTCGCCCAAGTGCAAATTCAAAATTAAGTGCTATAATATAACCACCATTGAAGTCTATGTAACCAAAACCAGAATATTACCATCATTGGCACCACAGTTCATCGAATATTTATTCCATTGTCAAACAACCACAACAAACGCAAATTTATTACCACCATTAGTGTTACAATATAACCACCATTAAAGCCATACCAAACCCATCGCACTTGTAACGGTAGCCAAACAATTGTTACCATAATCAACCACGTAACCAACAGCATTTCGAATTATTTCATTGTAAACATACTACCATCGTTACCAAGTTTTTGCACTTGCTAAAACTCATGTCACCTAGCGTAACATTGTGTTCTCGAGAACAGCCTGGAGCCACTCGCCTGGGGCATTTAATTTAAATGTTTAGTTTGTATCGTTGACCATTATAACTTAAACTGCCACTGTATTGAGTTTCTGTACCATCATGGGTCAATATATGTATTGGAATTCTGTAGCTTTTTATAGTCGTTCTGCAAAAGTGTTTTTTGTAACAAATCCACTTCTTCTACGTATGACCTTTATTTACAAAATTTGCTTAAAAAGGGTATCTCCACTTATTATTATAAAGAGAAATGTGTGTCAATAATCATCACACCTGTTTCCACCATTAGTAAATCCACTGCGATTATAATCACCATGTAACCACTATTTGCCCCATCTTTCATAGAAATGCGTATACAATAATGTACTTTGGGATTCATTTATCTTCTTTTAATAACTTCGGTTTACTATTTAATGAAGAAATATGAATTTTTGTGTAATTTAGTTCAAGAGCTGCCAAGATATATAGATGAAATATATCACGTGATGCCGAAAAAGGATCTCAATTCCATAGATAGACTACAGAGTCTATCACTGTCACAAATTTAATGCGTTTAGACACACAGGTGTCTAAACGCATTAAATTTGTGACAGTCATAATTTCGCATCGGAGGTCAAAAATTATGTAAAAACAATTTCAAGAAAATTCATATTTAATGGTCTTAGTAGTAACTTAAACTGAATACTAAATTTAAACTTTTCAGTTTAACGTTAGTAAGTGTGATTTCGATTAGTTCTGGCTCTTCTTTGTTTTTTAAATATGTTAGCCTATGTGAACTAAATATCTTGAACGTTTGTAATTAGTTAAAAGGTCCTGTTTTACTAGGGAACATTTCTATTTCATTTCAAACCTCACAAGACGAAAAACATGCATAATAAATGATTTTAAATAACCTACTATAAGAAGTGAGTGGCGACCAGGTTTTACTTGCCATGGTAACGGGCTGAGACCTTTCGACCGACGTAATCCCATTAATGCCCGTACGTATACATATGTTATAAAAGTTTAGTTAAGTCAAATTATGCAACGAAATTTTAGTTGCATAATTTGACCTTACCAAAATTGTTCATCTAAAATACGTTTAACCTTCTATAATCCGACATTTCCATAAGCACGTATTTATATTTAAAAAAAAGAAATGTTCCCTAGACGTTACTTAATATATTATTAATGCAAGGTACATTGTTGTAGGATACTGAGTGCAGATTTGAGTCAAGAACCCAAAAATAAGTCACAGGAATTCGCGCAGAACGAGATCATCAGGCTGGCTGCTGAGAGTTTGGCTTTACAGGTAACGTACGATTTTGATTGTAGGAGAAGTATGCGTTGTAGCATGGCAGTGCTTCAGCACAAATGGAGTGTTACCACGGCTTCACAGAAAACCGGTGTTAATCAATTATTTCTGTGGCTTTTCACCGAGTGAGTGGGCCATCGCAGGCCCAACCATTTTCATTCTTAGTCTCTATCCAAAAACGCAAATTTAAATTTATTTTCGTTCAGTTACGTCTAAAAAAAACCTTAAATTATGTACCCACATATTATGTACAACATTTTTCTTTATAAATAGTTAATGTAAGGTATATCAGAGTCACCACTGTAAGATATGTGACTCTATTATGTTTTCTCTATGTTTAGGCAGGCGCTCACACTATCAAGGTTGTATATAATGAAATAGTAAAATGTTTAAAATATACAACTATATTTCAGCCAGACACATCTGCCGATACCTGGTTCCCCGGCTATTAGTATCCCCGGTTTTAGTCGGTTCGAGTCCGACATGCCACCGATAGGTGGTATCCGAGGGGATTGCCGCACGGAAATAAAAAGAAAAAAAGACACATGTGCCGAGTGCTATACGAGTACATACTGGCTAACGCTTCCATGTATGCACTCTCACAAACTATGTGTTCCTACAGTTAAAAAATATATTTTTTTGGAAACGTTTTCCTTCCTAAAGAGTTGAAATGAGTCTCTCTTGTCAGAGTACGGGTTGGCTAAACACTGTTGAAATGTTGAATTACTTAACGTAGGTTTTCTGTGAGGTCGTTGTATCTCAATCTGGTCGAGTCAGCCTATATGATATGTACCGAGGCATGGCTTTCCTATGGTAATCACTAAATTCGTACTGCGCACTTACCAATAAATCCCATTGTCAGTAGCAAAGATCACTTTATTGACATTATATTTTCAAAACATATAAACCATTACAAACCAAAGGGATAACTCTATATTAGTATAAGATTCTTTATGTATAACAAATACTTAAACAATAGTATATAAGTAATAATTAACAATATATTTGTTTATTATACAATATTGTTATACAGGAGCGTGTGGACAAGTTATCAGAGAGTTGTCGCCGGTACAAGAATCAGATAAGATTGCTGGTCAACAAGCTCAAGGAAGTCGGTATTGAAGATGTCAATGATATCCTCGAGCAAAACGGTAAGAATAGCTCTGTTTTTACTAATCCCCGATTCTGGGGGAAGGGCGGCTACGCATTTGTGACTCTCGAGTTGCCAGTGTCGATGGGCGGTGGTCACTTACCATCAGATGACCCGTTTGCTCGTTGCCCCTCTCCACTCCCCCCGTCTTCATACCATAAAAACCTTGTATGTTGTTGTTTTGTAATAGTAAGCAAGCATTCTCATAACTTCTGAGGGATAGACTGTCTCGGTGGTGCAGCTGTAGCGTATGCGACTGCTGTGCTGAGGTCTCGGGTTCGATTCCCGGGTCGGACCAAATGTTTGTATGATCTGCAAAATGTTAAATGAACGGTTCTGCTTAATGTGCCTGGCTGCCTTTCCCAAAAGATACGTGCACTGAATCCGTCTAATCTTTTTTTTAAAAGACAACTCCCGCACTAAGAATAATATACTGTGGCGCTAAAAACACATGAAGCGGCGTAAAGATCAATCAGACAAAACATCAAGTGAGATCGAACCCACAACACCGAGCGCACTAGGAAGCGTCGAGAATCATCAGTTTATAAAAGTAGCTACCGTGTTAGTGGTGTATAATCTCATTTTTTATTACAGACAATTGTGTTTTTCCATGTTCTCAATCACGCTAATATTCTTGCCAAACACGTCATTGAGCTATTTTTTTATAATTCAGATACAACGGCACCTCCAAACGCTTCGATGACTCTAGAAATAGCGCCGGTCACTCGCAAGAAGGAGCGCGAGTACCTCGGCATGTTCGAGTACAAGATACAAGACGAAGGAGTTATTATTAAAAAATTGATCTCAGGTGAGTTTCTATAATCATGCGAGCGAAGCCGCCGGTCGCTCTTCTGTAAAAGGTCATAATCAAATATGACATGTTAATTCCATCCTTATTCCAACAGACTTAAAACCCAAAGTGGCAGTGACCCTCCTCCCTGGGCTGCCTGCGTACATTCTTTTCATGATGCTTCGTCACATGGACCATGTGGACGACGAACCAAAGATGCACCAGCTGATGAAGGCGGTCAGGACCGCTGTGAAGAAGACTTTGAAGAAACGAGCAGAGAGTGTAGAGTATAATGCCTTGTGGCTTGCTAATATGCTTAGGTAAGTAATGTTTTCAAATTTAGATACTATAAGGGTATGTGTGTGTATATTCCCTATACACCAAAGGCCGACTAAGGGAGCAAATTACAAGAAAGTTGGCGCAAACCCTACACCAACCCTCCTGGAAAGCGTGATATGGTAGGCAAAAACTTCCTTTCTAAGAAGTGTTTGTGTCTTTTTTCCCTACCTGTGTTGGCCTGATCTCACCATGGGACACCACTTTGTGTGATCCACAAATTGTTGTTCAAAGTCTGGGTGTTCTTTGTGTGTCTTCGCGACACAGCATATATTCCTAGTGCGGGAGTTGTCTTTCGAGGCAAAAAAGACATGAAAAAAAAACGCGTTTAATCCCTTACTGATTCGGTAGAGTGTGTAGAATTGCAGAGTTGCAGAAATTTTGATTAAAGTTAACCTTTTGTGTCCAAATTTTCTGAAGTAAGTAAACTACTCCATGACTTCGTGGTAAATAAATTTCAGCGTTGATACACGGTATAATAAGAGACGCTTCGGTGGTTTTATTTTTTATGGTCTTTTTGGTTTCTTTTTACTTTTTTAACTATCAAAGAGTGCTATCGATATTATGCGACTAACACTTTTACTAACCGTTTTTTTTTCCCTTAAGTTTCCACCCTCATACTTTATAACTCAAAAGGAAATTTAAGCGACGTAGCAACTAATTATTGTCAGAGTTAAAATATGCGTTGCCACCCTTTAAATGAGAGTACTCCCATATAATTAGTGAGTTGATCCTCCGGTAACTCAGTTAAATTAAATAATAGGTCTTTACCTAAGAAATTGCCGTTTTGTATGCAATAAGTGAAAGTACTTATTTTTTCAAACTTTTTATTTCTGTTATTCGAAGCAATCACCCATGCAATCGACGCATCTTTGCCAATGCATTGGCAGTTTATTGATGCCCTTCTTGTAAAAATCAGCTGGACGGGAGGCAACAAACTCTTCAAAGGCATTTTGTACTGCCTTTCAGGAATTGAATTTTTTACCCACTAAAAAGTTGTCTAAATTTTGGAAAAAGTAATAGTCGGTAGGTGCAAGGTCTGGTGGTCACATCTGCATCCAGCTTTGGTCAATCAGTCTTCCCCGCTGCTCCTTCACGACAACGCGCTACCCCATACTGCGCAACAGACAGTCTCCAAGCTGCAAGAGCTGGGGTTGGAAGCTCTTCCTCATCCGCCATGCTCACCAGACCTTGCACCTACCGACTCTCCCACAGTTCTCTCACGGCTCACGGTTCGGTATTGTTCTTCATTCAATAAGCTAAACAAAACATAATTATCTACTAATGTTCTTTGCAGACTACTGAACAACCTGCGACAGTATAGTGGCGACACGATATACCAGTCTGCGAACACGCCCAGACAGAATCAACAGTGTCTTCGCATATTTGACTTGTCTGAGTACCGGCAGGTGCTCAGCGACATTGCTGTATGGATATACCAAGGTAAATATGTATATAGACCTGTTGGAAAGCCGTGGGTTCGATTCCCATCCAGGGCAAATAATTGTGTGAAGGGAATAATCATTTGTTCTGTGTCTGGGTGTAATTGTATGCGTATACTTGAGACCTCATGTATATACTCGTATGTAGTAATGAATATAGTATTTTATTTATAGTATATGTATGTAAGTTAGATTTATCTTAAATTAATAAATTTAATATAAAAGAGTCAAATTCTCTGTTTTCTCTTGAACCTACAACATCATTTTTCTACATCACCCGAAGGTCTACTGGCAGAGAATGCCCTGGGCATTAAGTCCGCCTGTGTAAAACTTGTGCATTAAGTTAAATAAATAAATAAATAATTTATCTATGTGTACGTATTTAATTATGTTTATCAGCAGTCTGGTTAACATAGCACTGGCTTTGCCTAGTTTGGGATCAGACGATGTGATGTGTGATGTTATTATTATTATTATATTAATGTATTATGTCCATCGGACACAGGAGTCTTTCTTATCAGGCCTGACTACAAAGTTTATGTTTGAACTTTTTGTATGTAACTAAACTGTCTCGGGTAGGTCGTCACACTAAACCTGGATAAGACAAATTACATGGCTTTTACGATCAGAAACATGTGGAGGCCACCAGAAAACTACACTGGACTGTATCATTGCACACAACTGTAATAACACATACCAATAAAAGGCAGCAGCATGCAATATGTCCTAATTAATTTATAGCTGTAAGATTTTCGAACGCTATCTTCTGAGATACAGTTCATAACCTAGTTCAGAAAATAGAGCCATTGTATAGTAATAATCACAACCATCACATTAGTTATGTAGCGCCAGATTTGGGTTAATCTTGTCATCATATCTATACTAATATTATAAAGCTGAAGTTTGTTTGTTTGAACGCGCTAATCTCAGGAACTACTGGTCCGATTTGAAAAATCTTTCAATGTTAGATAGCCCATTTATCGAGGAAGGCTATAGGCTATATATCATCACGCTAAGACCAATTCTAGCGGAGCACCAATGAAGAATGTTGCAAAAACGGGGAAAATTTATTTATTTTAAAAGACGCAGACGAAGTTGCGCAAGTCAGCTAGTACATAATAAAGCTTAAAAACTTTTGAGAAAACTTTAAGAATGCCAATATGAAGTTTATGTTTATTTTATGGAAATAAACTATTTATTATTAATCACCGCGAGAACTTTAATTGTGCGATGTAACTTCAGTAGTTACTGTTATTGTTACTATTAGTTACTGTTAGTTCAACTTGTTTCCTCTAGACCTCACTGTAGTGTTATGTATTCTATGTCGATGTTAATATAAAATGTATATATAGTTCAATTATTTAATAATTTGACAGATATTTATTATTGAATAATATTAGAAGCGAATTTTATTCCCGATAAAAAATATTATTTGTTTTTTATACACAAATGAAAATAATAATGGCGGACTTACAGAGAAACTCACTTACAACGAACTTACAACAAACATAAATATATGTTAATGAATACATACCTACATATTATACCTACACAATGAACCAATAACTGTGCTCATCACAAAATTATTTATTTACATAACTTAATGGAGAAGTTGTACACAGGCGGACATAATGGCCAGGGCATTATTTGATTCGGGTAATTAGAAAAATGCTGCGGTAGTTGCAAGAGAAAACATAGAATTTGACTTTATTTAATTTAAGATAAATGTAACTTACTATTATATACTTTATACTATAAATAAAATACTATATTAATTACTACATATATACATAGAGGTCCCAAGTATACACATACAATACATAAACATATAAAATTATCTCTTTTTTTGTATGATCAGAACCCAAAAGTCCTGGCACGGAAGTCAGCATCACTAACCACTGAACTTACTTGCCCGACAAAATCTATATTTTTCATAGACATCAAATTAATATCTTGTATTTTCTTTCTTCAGGCCTCATCAATCTCCTAGAACGCCAACTCGAACGCCTAATAGTCCCAGCAATAATGGAGCACGAAGAGATCTCAGGTTTATCGGGGCCAACGTCTCGTCCTCCCCCTACGGGGAGCGTAGGTGCAGGGCCTGCTAGACTCAAGCAGGAGTTAAGCGCCACCCATGATCATCTGCACACGTACTCAGTCGACCAGTCGTTGAGACTTATGATATTTAAGCAGGTGAATATTTCTTAAAACGGCTCGGCCTTACCGGTAATTACCAGAGGGCTTTTTTTTTGTTGACGGGGTGGAAAATCTTTTCGAATCTCCGGCTCGAGGACGCAGGAGCCAGGAGTAAGTGGTATTTCCACTCAAATAAATCCCCAGGGGGTCTACTCTGGGGACGACCCGCACCACGTTATGCCCTCCCCTCCCCCACCATGATCAGTTTATGGATTGAATTGTTTTGCCGAAACTGTAACTTTCTATGTAATTTCGTATCATGAATAACCGCTGCGATCCACATTCTAGTTTTGCAAAACAGCGAGTAAACAAATTAATATCGAGTAGTCAGCGAAAAACTGAGAATTATTGATTGCAAAATATCGTGTCTATTGTTAATATTTGTAATAAAATATAAAAATGAAATGTAAATAATTCGTCTATATCGTGTATAGCCAGTATAACGCCTATAGGAAGCAAACTACGCAGGACAACAGCACTGCAAAGAGAAGGAAAACTTGAAACAAACCCTATACCAATCCGTCTGGCTAGCGTGGTGTAATAGGCCAAAAGCTCCTTTCTGAGAGAAGGCCTATGTCCAGCAGTGGACTATTAAATAAAGGCTGTTGATGATGATGCCTTTTGCCTTTATTTTATAACTTTATGTTACGAATATAGAATATTATTACGAAATAACATTGAATTATCCCTTTTATAGGCGCATTGTTCTCTCAGTAAGTCGATCATTATCATACTAGTTAAGACTCATTCAAGTCGGCTGAATATTTATAAAATAACGCATATTGATTTCAGTTATTCTATTACATCTGCGCGTACAGCGTGAATCAGTTGCTACTGCGCAAGGATCTATGCTGTTGGGCCAAGGGGCTACAGATCCGATACAACATCTCACATCTTGAGACCTGGATCAAAGAACATCTAGCCGAATACGGTCAGAAGAGCGTAAGTTTGATTTTTAACTTTTGGTAATTGTGAAATACTAAAATTATTGAAAAACCATTGAAAATTGAAATTAAACGCTATAAAGTGTATAAATTTTTAATAAATAAAATTAAACAGACAGAAAGAGACACAGAGAGAGAGAGAGATAGAAAGAGAGATAAGACTTGTATGTCGCAATAAAATATGTATAATATGGAACTAAGAAAAGTAATAGAGACGATGTCTTTGTCTGCTTGTCTGTCCCTCTCTGCTCTACTGAAATCATTTTTGGGGCTATTACATAGCTAAATCAAATTCCTAAAGCTAAATCAAATAATAACTCCAAATAAATTGATTAATAAATAAAATAACTCCAAAATAAATTGATTCGTCTCAAAATACTGCATAAGTCCTCTATTGTTATATTATTAAACATTTTCATTTTCAAGGAGAGATCTTGTTGTGAGACTGGCCTGTTGGTCTAATGGTTACTAATCTTGATTACGGAGCAGAGATCCTGAGTTCGATTCCTATCTAGGACAAATAATTATATGTTGAGCATAATAAAATTTAGAATCGGTTAGAAAAATATACTTATGAGTATGTTTATCAGTTAATTATTGCAGTATAGACTCTGTTACAGGTAGGTAGAATGTTCATACAGGTGTGTGCGATGTGTCACGTGGAATTTGAAAAGCGCCACCTTAGTCGTGTAGTAAGGTATGCGACTGCAGTCAATGAGGCCTCGCGTTCGATTCCCGGACCTGGCATATTCTTATAGGGGTTTTCTGACAGGAAAAACAGCCTAGGTTACTCCTTATTTAGACAGCTACCTGGTAGTACAATATTATCAAAATCAGTCCAGCCTTTTTGATAATTACCCGGAACGAACAGACAGAAAGACAAAAAATATTTAAACTGGTTTTTAGGCATAGATATCGTGAAAATAACCGTGTGAGCATGAAAAAAAATATTATTGTGCCATTATAAACAGACACTTCAATTTTATTTATATATTTGAAAAATTCTGAAATATATAAATTTCTTGGAAGAGATCCTAAATAAACATGTGTGAATGTACGTGTTTTTTTCTTTCAGGTTGAAGAGATCCTGGGTGTGCTGAAGCCTATCACTCAGGCGGTGCAGCTGCTGCAAGCGCGCAAGTCCATGCAGGACGTGCAGTCAACTGTAGACATGTGCGCCAACTTGAACGCTATGCAAGTCTGCAAGGTCAGCAGTTGTCTTCTATGTCATGTTTTTATTTATTTATATATTTACACTTCCTGCATTACAACTTGCACGAGGCGGACTTAATGCCACATGGCATTATCTACCAGACAAACCTTAAGAGGGTTCAGTAAGGGACATGGCAGGTAACAACATGTGTGTTACGAAATTGTTGGTATACAGCGCCAACCTTTAAGAAAAGAGCGTTTTTTTTAGGGGGCAAACAAGTAGACGGGTCGCCTGATAGAAAGCGAGTACCTCCGCCCATGAACGCCTGCAACTCAGTCACAAGCGTCGTCGTCGGAATACTTTGGCACTTTGCCTATTCTACTAACTATGTAAGACCAATGGCCTCCCGATGACTTGTCACTGATACAAATGTCGTCGATGTCTTTGTAACAGTAAACGGTACATTTTAAATTTGTAAGAAAATGAGATATTTAATTTTCCAGGTATGGCAATGTTGTTGATGTCACCATTGATGACCTATATCGACAGTCTATTGACACTGTGAATTTATATTAGTAGAATACTGATATTTTGATCGAAGTCAATGGCATCTCAATAGCGTGTCAATGGAATGACAGTGGCTTGGCGTTCATATAAAATAGAAAAATTGAGGCTCTCCTCGTTTGCCCCCAAATAGCATAAAATCCATCGCTTTATAAACTTTGCGATCGCATCATCTTTTTGGCTTCACCAAAGCCAATAAGTTAACAAATTAATCAGTAATTATAAAACTAAAGAAGAGCATATTTGTATACCGTTTTAAGACCTCCGTTTTTAATGACCGAACGGCCTCACAGAAAACCGGTATTTCAATAGCAATTCAGTCGTCGTTTTTCACCGAGAGGTTGCAGAAGCTCAAACCTCCCCCTCCTCCTGATTTCCCCTTCTGAGGGGAGGGGACTCAAAACGTGGCAACGCATTTGTAGCTTTTATGTTGCAGGTATTTATAAGCGGCGATAGTCTGTTCGTTTACTCACTATGAGCTTTAAAAAAGCTTTAGCTAACTTAACAAAATTACCATCTTGTCTCTAACATTCGCTTCGCTCAGTTTCTTCAATTCCAATAATATATCTAATTAATAAATTTTAAATATGTTTTGCACAGAATTTTTATATATTATTAAAATTCCAATCCCCAGATCTTAAACATGTACACTCCAGCCGAGGACTACGAAGTGAAGGTGACAAGAGAATTTATCCACGAAATACAGAAGAAGATGCAGGAGAAAGCTGGTGTGAACCCCGACAAGGAGCCGGTGAGACTTATCTCTCATAACCTGCTAACTTCGAGTACTAAAACGTATTTTGATATAAAAAAACTGTGCTGCCCAAATATTAATCTTTTAAAGTTTAATCAATGGTCCGTGTGGTGACTGATTAAGAAGACTGAGTGTGAGTGACTATTCACCCCGTCAGTGTCGTAAGAGCGTTAGAGATCTATGTCCAGCAGTGGGCTATTAAAGACTGTTGATGATGATGATGATATCGGAATTCTAGAGTTGGGTCTAAATAGCGCTATATAATATGTCGCAGGACTTCTATTATTAAATTAATTCTATCAGAAATATAATCTACCGAAATTGAACTCTTAACACTACAGGGACTTGTTCTCAAAATAGGTTTCAGATCTAGCATTCAAAAAGTTATCTTCATATTAACCACTATAAAACTGTTATATCTTCTAACTAAATATATCTCTTTCAGCAAAATCTCCTAATGGACACCAAGATGATATTCTCAGTTCAGTTCCCGTTCAACCCTTCACCTATTCGCTTAGAAGCCATTGAGTTACCGGAAGTATTAGAACTAGAAGGTCTACTCACCAAGATATAAATATAATTGCAATAGATGAAAAGACCTAGTAGACCAAAAGACCGAAAAGACCAAGTAGACTAAAAGATGAAAATAATTTCTATCAAAATACAAATTTGTGAACATAGTAAAGAGTCTTTTGGCCAACTAAATCGGTCTTCTTAGTTTGACTATCATAGACATAAGCCTTAGTTTCATGTTTTCGTAAATATCAGAGTTGTATGTATATAATTGCAGTAATTAAAATCAAAATAAATATATAAAGCATAATATGCTAAAAGTATTAAATGATAATAAAGGAAATATAAAACGTTGATCTCTCTGTACCACGAAACTTTAATTAATAGCGATAAACGATATTAACTATCGTTTAGTAACTTGATGTCGTATTACCGGCTAATTTATGTTGTATAGATAAAAACGCATTTATATATGTTTGTTTGACCTATATATATGGAAATAATATATAATTGAAATGGTAATCAAAAACCAATCATTTTTATAACAATATCAAAGTAATGAGTATTAATGGATATTGCGCTATTCGGTGTCATAACTTTATTACTAGATAATTTAACTTTAAACTGACACCAGTTAAAAAGCAGTCGTTAGTGGCAATGTTAAATCAAGTATTTAGTAAAAACTAAAGAGGTATGGAAAGAAAGTAGTGAGAAAAGGAAAAAATGTAGTTAGTAAGAAAGAAAGAGTATAAATCAAGTAATAAGAGTAAAGAGAATATTATAATCAAAAGGTAATGGTAGGGGGGTAAAATAAAAGATGGAAGAAATGTGAAAAGAAGAGAAAGATAGAACGGCAGCTTGTAAAAAGTAACCTAAAGTCTCTCTCCTCCCTAATCTTTGGGGGAAGGGGCACACACGGTAACACACTTGTCTCTTGACTTTCAGGTGTCAGTGGGCGGCGGTAGTCACCATCAGGTGACTCGTCTGCTATATTTAAGTATTTATGTTAGAGTTTCAACTATAAATAAAGAAATACGTTTTAATCGTTTCTTAGAAAATAAATCCTATGGTTGAGGAAATAGAGTTTAAAAAGGCAAATTCGCATACAATTTCTACTTTCTAAAAGTAAAAGAAAATATTTATGAAGGTCGACAATTGAAAAATATTACATGCGTTTTCAAATATAAAATTAGCAAAACAAAAGGTATAATATGTTAAAAACAAAATATGAGCTTGCTAATAAAATATTTAATAATTAACATGCCATCACTACACTATACACAGTATATTCCCACTGTTAGCACGCTATATTAATAATAGTTAGCGTGCTATTGTAATAAAAATAGCATGCTATTTTTAGAACGTTAGCATATGAAAATCGCATTGCGCATATAGAGCAACCGTGTTACAAAACTAGTGTTAGCATATAAAATGCTAAAATTATTAATTGCCATACAAAATAATTGCCCAATTCGGTGCCATTTTTAATAAATCAGTTTTTAAATTTGTTACTAAAAAAATGTACTTACATCGAAATGACTTATATTTCTGTTATTCGTTTATTTAAGTTATTATAAGGATATTTTTGTATTATTTACTACAGGAAGTATTTTGTTTTGTAGATAACTCTTTTTTATATAGCAACGATCACATTACGTCATTGATTATTCTGAAAATGTCATGACAAATATGACAACTCGTTTCATTAATATTATTTTGTAGTAGAAACATTGTGTCGTAAAATGATCGCTGCATAAACACATCCAATAATTTATATGTTAAACAAAATTAGACCAAATCACGAATTACTAGAGTTGATAATTGCAGATATAATATAGAATATGTAGTACATAATAGCTTAAGACTATTATTATTTTATATTTGATTAGAAAATGAGTTTGTAGTGCTGAGATATGACAGTTTGTTTATTTAGTATTTATTTAATAGTAAACTTATTGTTAAAACTATTGAAATAATACAATACAAATATTATTTATTATGTTGTGTATATAAAAGTATTATTATTATTTTATTATGCCAAGCTATTTCAGTCTTACTGAAGTCGAGTAATCAATAGGGTAGTTGACTGTATCATAAATAAATTACAATGTCCGCTTCATTAAAGTTTTACAAAACATCTCGGAAAATCTTTCTAGCTTTTTTATACTTCTATTGGGTCGTCTAAATTAGTGACGTCACAAGTTCATATTTCATACTAAATTGTCGTTTTGACAGATGTTAAAAAGTAACTAATTTGACCACAGTGTCAAATACCCTATTATTCAAATATCAAGAGTGTGGTTAGTTTATATTTTTCTATACAAACGTAAAACCGCTCTGAAGATTTTCATCAGATCATTTATTATTATTAAAATAAGTGTTGTGAAAAGTTCTAAAAATAAAAAATGCATAGGGCGAGAGAGCTAGGGCAAGGGATATTGAAAGTCCAAGAAAGACCCCACCGAGTATCCTTCTTAGTCTAGAGTCTCTCTCTGAGCCAATCATGCATGTGTGACTCTACCTACATAGCCTCAGAGATCACTGATCCGCGCAAGCCATCCCACGACGATAACGAGGGGGTTTCCACACGTTAAAAAAAACGGCTATTGAAAGTCACAGATGGGGGGCTGGACTGAGACTGCAGTTGCTCCGAGAAACCAGATAGACGTTTATAGTCTCATACTAGTAAAGTCCTCGGCATAACAAAGAGTATTCCTTAAAACAGGAGTTAGGGAACGTACCCAAACTACCTGACCCGTTCAGGGAGAGGGGAGTCTTCAAAATACTAGGAGAGCAACCAGGGGGAGGGCTTAGACTTAGACTCAATATCTTAAATAAACAGCAAGCGGTGGAATAATAAAGACAAATACCAGCCAATAATAAAATTCAAAATAATAAAATTCATACATGTTTTATTTATTTTTTGAAAAAAAAAACATGTATGAATTATTACGTGGAAACTAGAGGGGAAGGAGGTGTCTAGGTAAATACTACGTATGGTTACCGAGAGAAGGATAGGCGAAATGATAAAAAATAGTTTACGTGGTATGGGTACGTTCCCTTATTCGCCATCTCAATTTTGTATTGTAGGCAGTAGGTATTTTTAGTTTACGTGGTATGGGACGAAATCTTTGTGCAAAACTTACAACTGGCGCCCAACATGGGGCGCCATTCGTAAGTTTTGCACAAACAATTTTTTTATGATTTTTACCCTCCTTCTCTCGTTTGTAAGTTTACGGCTAGTGTACGACTTCACCAACAGCTTCCTAAATTCCTTCCTAAATTTGGTCTTCCATTATCCTGTTTCCAAATTCTGTATAAAATTGTACTTTTATGTTATCATTTAAAGAGTTGTTGGTCTAGATGTTAGCGATCCTACTAAGCCAGAGGTGCTAGGGTGCGCTACCCACCCAGGAAAAAAAAATGGCGTGATGAACACTGTTATTTGTTCTGTGTCTGGGTGTAATTTATCTATAATTTGTATGTATTTGGATATATATAAGTATGTTTATCAGCAGTCTGGTTACCGTAGTACAGGCTCTGCCTAGTTTGGGATCAGACGGCCGTGTGTGAGATGTGTAAAGCTATTATTATCTAAGTCTTATCTCAGCCATTCCTATTGTAAATTATCAACGAATTTTAGTTTATTTTTTACAAAGATTTATACATTTTTTTTAAATATTAATAACAATAATTTGGTTACTATTTTTATGTACTGACTAGTTCAAAGGTATTTGCCATTAGCCACATTTGATACTTGTACAACTGCTAATGTATACTAAAAAGCCAAACTTCCTTCAGTGGTATTATATATTGATTGAAGATATATTTGGTTGCAATCACGTGTGTGTTTCGTGGACCCCGGTCGCATCCGTGACAGCGACAGGTCGCTACGCTCATTGTTAATGGATACCTTTTGGCTCTGAATTCAACATTCCTGAAATACACACATGTGTAACCGCATATGTTCAAAAACAGTTTTTAATAAAGTTATTAATGATGTTACAAGCAAATGTAAAAGAAAGCTTGCAATAAATTAATGTTTTATTAAAACTTTTTTGGTAAATATTTATGAGTAATAAATACCGCTGTACGTAGAAGTGACATTAAATTAAATGTGGTACAATACTGGTGAATTATACTGTCCAAAAAGCGCTGGTTGCGCTTCAAATTTAATTCCTGTAAAGTGCTTCAGCAGCTTTTTTGACAAGCAATACGTGTCATTCCATTATATTTAATTTAGTAGTATAAATTATATTAAGTTAACTTTATTTAAGTTAATTTTTTTTGGGAAAGTTGCAAAAATATATGTTAAGGCTTACGGACATTTTTTATAAAGAACTTAGACAGGAGTCATCATCATTATCATCCCTTAACAGTCCACTGCTGGACATACACACAGGACTAATATTCTTAAAATTTTCACTGGTATTCACGATCGCAGGTTCACAGCGGCTACAACCGGTCCTCTTGAAATACATTAATGGGTTCTATGTCCAGCAGTGGACATCTCATGGCTGGAAGTGCTGATGATGTTGATATAATTGATGTGACACATCAAGATCAGCATAAATTTATTCCAATACCTTAATCATACTTCAATGCCCTCTGATGATATCTCACATAATAATTTAACTCGTACGGTGTATCAGGGTAGTTTTCATTAGCTTCTTAACCCTTTTGCCAGATTTCTCTTTATCATCATCATTAATCGCAGTCCACTGCTGGACCTATAGACCTCTCCCATTGCACGCCACTTATATCGATTTTGGGCTTCTCGCATCCAGCTCCTGCCAGCCATCTTGCGCAAATCGTCACTCCACATGACCTGTGGGCGTCCTACACCACGTTCTTCTTTATATGACAATATATTTTTCAAATTTCCCAAATTGTAAGAGAACTCAATAAATATATAAAGATGTATATTTAAATAATAAACTTAGTATTTAAAAGAAGTTACCATACGCTAGGTGCTTACGGAGCTACAATTGTACTACAAAATTACCTAAAACTATTTACAGTGTGTTATACAGTGACATATATATACACGTATGAGTTATA